AAATTTTTACAAGCACTTTTTATAATTAATAAAATAATTTATGCTATAAAATAATAATAATAATAATATAAGTATATAACGTGTGTGAGATTGATTGAAAAAGAAAATCATTTAACAAATGTTTTTTTTTTGTTTTTCCTAAAAGAGATTTATATATTTATTTATGAATTGACAGTATTATTATCATTTTTATTATTATTATATTAATCAATGAGTTATGATAAAATAGATTATTATTAATTATCCGTAAAATTTAAGGTTTTTTTTAAAATGTAAATCAAGTAAAATTAAAAAAAAAAAAAATTATTTTAATTTAACCATCCGGAAATGATATAAATTAAATTTTCTGCCAGCAGATAAAAAATAATTTTTTTTTTAATTTTCGTGTCAATTATTAATAAAAAAAAATTAATTATTTTATTTTTGATATTATTTATAGATTATATAATCAAGAAATATTAATTACCATCATTAATTATTAAAATTTGATAAAAACAAAAAAAAAAGTATGAGAAACTTATTAAAATTAATTAATTAATTGTACAATCTAAAATATTTTAACTTTATTATAAATTTATTGATTGGTGAATTACGTAAAAAAAAAAAAAAAAAGATTTTAAAAAGCACGCTGTGAACATAATAAATACATCAGCGAAACATGTTATTATCATTCCAACAAAAATTATTATATATATATATATATTTGACTTAGATAAATTTATTACGTAAAATTTTTTAAAATAATTCATTTATTTATTTATTTCTTAAATTACGTTACAGTAGCATCAGTATTTTCTTTTTTTTTTAATAACATCATTCATAAATTATATTTTCTCGGCAATATTTTCGTAAACAATTACAAAAATATATATATATATATTAATAAAAAAAAAAAAAAAATTATTTTAAAACAACTTTGTTAAACAAACCGAAAAAAAAGAAAAACAAAAAAAAAAAAAAACAAATTTCTTTGAGCGTAAAGTACATACACATTCATCATCTTCGTTTATTTTTCATCAATTTTCTTTTTTATACATGCACAGTCCTGGAAAAATAAAAGAAAAATTCGCATATATTTTAATAACAAGATATGTAAAAGTTTTTATATATGATAATTTATTTATATATTCATTTTTTTTTTACTGCCATGATATGAAAACGTAAAAAAAAAAAGGCTCGCCTGCGGTCTGGAACGTGTGATAATTAACATTTTAATAGCTAGCTTCGTGTCCAGCTAAAATATATAAATCAGCTCCGCCATCTTCTGTCAGAGTTCCAACTCGTGACAAGTCTTGTGCCAAATGACTTTCTAAAACAACAACTCTAAAAAAAAAAAAAAATAGAAAAATTAGATAATTATTCGATTGCTGCCATTTTCTAAAACTTTCCTTTTAAATTCAAATGACTCACTTGTCTGCTCCGACGAGCCTGTAGGTTCTGCTTTTATCTTCTATTTGTTGTGTTATTTCACCATTTTTTAAACTTCTCCCTTGGACGCCATATTTGTGAAACGCCAAAAGACTATCCGGCAAACAAACAACTGATTCAATTGAAAAATCAAAAACTAATTCTTCTACCAATTTTCCAACAATTTTTTGTTTTTCTAATATTGTAACTACTTTAGCTATATCTAAAATAAAATAAAAAAAATTATTTTATATTTAATAATAACTGCTGTAATAAATTAAATTTTAATTTTTATATTGAATTCGTACTGTCAAAACAAACTAAAACGGCATTTTTGTCAAGTTGATGAACTTTTATTATTTTAAGATAATCTCTCCTTGGTATAACAGTAGCTGTACCATCCATTTCTTCTAATTCATCACTGTGAAACCATTTTGACTTGTGATTCATATTAATTAAATCTAATTTTAAACGGCCTTCGTAAGTTTGCTTAACATTTACGCATACCATGGGATATTCTAAATCAGGAGTTATTATCATTTCAAAAACATTTAACGGTGATGGTAGGTGACAATCAAAATGCTGTAAATATAATATAATTGTAAGAAATTTTTTTTTAAATAAATGTATTTGTAACTGGTGAAAAAAAAACTAAATGATGATTATTACCTTGAGAAGCATGAATTTATTTAAAGGATCGTACCACTGCATAAGAAATATGCCTCCCGACAGGGCCCCACATAAATATTTATATCCATTATATGGATTCCTCCCGACGCAACATTTGAGGCAACCTTTTGTTTCTGGAACTTTTGTTGTAAGTGCAAACTTTCTAGGAACGAGTTTTTCCGGTATTTTATTCATGTGAAGTGAAAATCTATGAGTTTGTTTACTTTGAAGCTGTAATAAATCGTGCCTATAAAGTTGAGGAGTTTTACCTGGAACAAAATTGATGATTCTTTATGATTTTCATATTTTATGATTAATTGACAAGGAGTAAAAAAAATTCTTTTTTTTTTTTTTTTTTTGTTTACCGGATAAAGTCATGAGAACGTCTTTAATGACATACATCCAAATTGTTCTTCTCGGATATAATTGATCTATGGCTGTTTCGTGTAATTCGTTTAAATTTAAGTTATATATTCCTTCTTCGGCCCCTAAAAGGATATGTTGGTCTCTTGTATCCGGATGAATCCAACTTGCTGTACAGTGAATTCTTAAAGGACAACCGTTAAATACTTTGGAAAAACAAGCTCCCATGTGAACTTTCGGAGTCGGAGGTAAACCGTTGCTCACGGGTCTGGGAGGTGTGTGCCATTTTTTTTCTCTTCTTCTAGGAGGTACGGGTGGAGTATCAGATAATAAATCCGGTTCCGGTCCAGATTCTCCTTCATCTAATAATTATTAATTTCAACAATATAAATTTTTATATATACTAAATTCTTTATCAGATATTTCTAGAATTTTAAATTTAATTAAAAACCTTTGATTTTAGTTTCTTCTATTTCACTTTCGGATAAAGATCTTTGATGTTGATTTCTGTTGGTTAACGTTGGAGTGAAACGCATGATTTCATCAACGGAAGAATGTCTTCTCTGAGAGTTTCCATTACTCCCTAAAATATTTTTAGAAAAAAAAAAATAATTACAGGAACAAACACACAGGATTTGTTTAACATTAATATTACCTTCGCTATTGCAATTTCTATGAATGTCACATTGAAGACTAGAAGAATTAGCATTTGATTCACTTATTGGAAGAGTGGCTCTAAAAAAAAAAAAAAAAAAAATTAATAATTGAATTTAAATTGCAAATAATAATTTTTTTTTTTTGTTTAAATTCAATTGGGTACCTATGTTCACAATGCAAACATATTTTTTTTCTCCAAATAATCAATTTTTTTTTTTTATTTGACATTATTTACCCTTTAATTGTAAAAAAATTTTTTTTCCCCTAATTAAAATTCCCCCCCCCCAAATTTTTCAGTAAAATGATCATTATTGATTATTTTTGTATTAATAATTTACATAGTTAATACTATTAAATATAAAATTAATAATAAAATCCCTAATCATAACTATTAACATTATTATTAATATTAATATTAGATAATTTCTTTTATTAATTAATGACAAACAATTCATTCATTAACAACGCAAAGCTTCCTTTTATTTATTTATTTATTTTTAGTATAATTGGTTAATTGCCTTCACAAAAAAAAATGTAATGATACCAAATGAATGAAAAAATAAAAAAATTATGAATACTCGAGAAACCCATAAAACTGTATAATAAAAAATAATAATAATAATAATAATAATAATAATATTATTAGTAATGATAAAAAAAACCAATTGAACATTATACATTTTTCGGCTTTTTTTTTTCTTAAATTAATTAATATTTGAAATTAAACAAAAAATAAGGGGCCCTAATATTTTTTACTCTTATCACTCTTTAAATTTCGTTGTAAAATAAAAAAATTTTTTTAATGCAAATGCCTTTTATGGAAAATTAAAACAAAAATGGTGGATACTTGATTGTGCAATAATAATTTTTTCAAATCTATTTTGAAAATTTTTTTTTTTTAAATTATTTTATCGGGTATAATATTTTATTTTCCTTTAAAATATGTAAAATAATAATAATAATAATAATAAAAGAAAATGAAACAAATAATATAATTACTTACAGCTGGGATAAAACATCTTCTTTTGGGGGTAAAAGCCGAACACAAGTCCCCCTTTAAAAATAAAGAAAAAATAAAACAAAAATATGAAAAATGTTTAATTTTTAATGCTAAGCAAAAATACTTGTGAGTCCCGATTTAAAAAAAAAATCATAATTAAAAAAAAATAAATATGTAACTTTTTAAAAATGGAAAAACCCAAAATTAGATAGAAACTAAACCAAAGATACTTAATTGGCTTGTGAAGTTCAGTTCACCAGAAATAAAAACAAGAAAATTCAATAAAATGTACACAAATTTTTTTTTGGTGGTTAAATAAGAAACAGAGACAGCAAAGTTCATATATTGAAAGACCCAAACCAAGTGCCATTTTATTCATACAACTGTAAAAAATATATTAATAAAATTTGATATAATAATCTTTGCATTATATATATTCGTACCTGGCGACAAGTTCTTCATCAATATACTGCAAAAGACTCCTGTTTTAAAAATAAAATAAAACTTTTACAGTAAAAAAAAGTTTTTCCTCTTTTTTTTTTTTAAAATAACTGTGAGATAAAAAATTTTTAAAATTATTTTTTAATTATATAAATATGAAAAAAAAAAAAAAAAGTAATTTTAATTAGGAGCCTCTACAAAAAAAAAAATTAATCTTTTTTTTTTTTTTTACAAATTTTTATGTTTTTTGAAAAATAAGAATTTTTTCAAATTATATAACCCAGTTATTTTGATACAGTTAAAAATTATTATGAATTTTACTTTTTATTAACTACTTTGATAAAATTAATAATGTTTATTTTGTTAAAGTTTCCATTTATTTCTAAGTTTTCATTTAAAAACTTTTTTTAACCCAATTCAAAGAAAAATGTTTGTACATTTACAACTTTTTTTTCTAGAGAGAGAGAGAAAAAAACTTACTTTTCATTTGAATTGATTATTTTTCCTTGTCCGCCATTTCCTTTATACCATTCACTATTATAATCACAGTACTCAGAGTGCTAAAAAAAAAAAAAATCAATCAAATACATTTTCAATTTTGGAAAAAAAAACAAAACTGAGTAATTAATTACTTCTCCATTATTTATATATTCTAAAATATGCCATGCTCTTTCAACTTCTGAATTATTTTGGGGTGTACTACATGACTCTCCAGATTTTAGACTGTCGTTTTTAGAACTAGCCACTGGAAAAAAAAAAATTTTTTTTAAGTAATGAATACAATTACATAAATTCAATATAATCAATATAAATAATATATGTAATAAATAGAAATCACCCATTCACATATTTAAATGAAATTTAGTCAAAAATTTTGTTTTCGAAGATATTAGTATTTGTAAACTAAAATGTCAAATATTTAAATTTATTAAGATATCTTTAAAAATCTTTAAGGCAAAGTAAAATGTACATGTATTAACTCACATATGTTCTCTGTAGATTTATTATGCCTAATTTTTGACCTTGAAGTGTGCCTTGAAGCTATTCTTTGAGGTACATTAGGCACAGATCCTTCTTCATCCGCATCTAAATCAGTGAACATATGAGAAGGATTGTTGACCTTCTGTAGAAGTTCAAGAGCCAGTCTTTTACTCATCTCCCCTTTAAAAAATGGATGCTGTAAAATTAAAAAAAAAAAAAAAAAATGATGGTTAAATTTATTTTATAATTGTTTTGAAAGAATTTATTTGTATCGAATAATACCTCAAGTAATTTATCTGCAGTCGGTCTTTTTTTAGGATTTTTTGTCAAAGACACTTTTATAAAATTGTGAAAAATTGGGCTCCATTTGTCTCTTTCTTTTAATGTGGGAGGTTTAAAACCACTTTTAGACATTAAAAATAAAGCTCTCATGGGATGTAAATCAAACATGGGAGGTTGCAATTCTGCTAACTCGATTGCTGTTACACCGATAGCCCAAATATCACACAGTTGATTGTATCCTCCTTTTCTCTCAACGGCAGCAACTTCAGGAGCCATCCAATAGGGAGTTCCGATAAAAGATTTTCTTTTATTTATTGTGGCAGTGATTTGGGCAGACACACCAAAATCAGCCAATTTAACATCCCCTATTTCTGTTAATAAAATATTGGCACCTTTAATGTCTCTATGCATTTTCCCCATTCTGTGTAAGTAAGATAAACCTTCTAATGTTTCTCTACACACATAGGCTATTTGAAGTTCTGTTAGTGGTCCAGTGACTAAAAAAAAAAGATATTCATCACATACAAATAAAAATTTTATAAAATAATAACTTTTTTTGTGTAAAAAAAAGTTATTTACTATGATAAATATCTTGAAGTGAACCCCCTCCACAATATTCCATACATATCCATAATTTATCTCTCCTTAGGTAACTTCCATAGTATGCAACAATATTTGGATGCCTACAATCTTTCATCATTAAAATTTCTTGTTGTATTATTTGAAAATCATCCCCAGGTTCTAATTTGATAACCTTTATTGCTGCCAAATCATTTTTTTCTAATCTCCTAGCCTACAATACAAATAGGTGTTGTATAAGAAAATTTTGAATGCTATAAAGTTAATTATGGGCAAAAAAAAAAAAAAAGAAAGAAAAGAAAACTAGATATAAAATTTAATATCTAATAGTAATTTGATAGCATTAAAAAATTTCCTTGAAAGTTATTTAATGGTGTGGTTTATAAGAAAAATTTTATTGATAATGTAAATGTATACATTTGTTAAATTCAAGAAGCTTTTGAAATCATTTCCTTTTGTAATTCTTAAATAAACTAACTATTCCTTAGTATATATATATATGAATTTTGATAATTAATCAAATTTAATTTTAAAATAAAAGAAATTAAATAAATAAGAGGGCAAAAAATTTTTAAGTTTATAATTATTAATGTAATGCCATAACTTTAAATAAACAAATAGATAGCTTTTATAACTTTTTTTTGTAAAAAAAAAATCATAATGAAAAAAAAAGTTTTAAAAAAATCCAGATATTAATTATCCAAGATAACGAATAAATAGAAAAATTTTAAATAAAAATTCTTTATGTAGTACTTTCTGTTGATTAGGGACCAATAAAAAATAATATTTTAGTAGTCATTACGGGAAAAGTATCAAAATTATTAATAAATCAAAATTTTTTTTATTACTAAAATCATTTAATTCAAAGATATTACTTTGTAAACATCTCCATACGTTCCACTTCCAATTCTTTGTATTAATTCGTACTCATCCTGAGGATTTTTCCTGCTGATATCTGAAGACAAAATTCCGGCAGCTTGAGCCATTGTACTCCTTTAAAATTTTAAAATTTTAAATGACTTAAAAATAGTCAAAAAATATAAATATTATAGATAACATTTGTCAAACTAATACACAACACCTATTTATTTACTCTATGTAAATAATTATACGGAAGTGCATTGAGTGAGAAGGAATTTGAATTTTTTCCAAGATCACGAACTTTACCGCCGTTTAAACTCAGGTTTACATAACCAGTTAAAATCCCATAATAAGGTAGTTTGAAATAAAATAATACAAATTTTAAATTTTTGTAAAAAAAAAAATTTATTTAAAAAAAAAAAAAAAGTACAACTATAAATACGCCGATTAACTTATAAGCATGTAAAATAATAATTTTAAAACTTTTAAGTAACTTAAGTTTGTAATTTCTAATAATAAATTGTGTAGCAAACAAACATTTCACATGTTTTTTTTTTTTTTTTTTTTTTTCATAAAACGTTTCACAGTTAAAAATATGTATTATTATGATGGTATTAATTGCATCATGCAAATTGCAAGTCCAAACATTTTAATAACTGAGTCAAATTATTTTAAATTGAAAAAAAAAAAATAATAATAATAATTAGTTTTTAAAAATAAAAAATTATCTCCATTTTCGGGCTCTTTGCATTCTTCCTCTGAAAATAGCTCTGGGTTGCTCGGGGGGCATAATTCTTTCCCCCGAAATGTTTCCTCTGAACATGGACGCTTTAAAAAAAAAAAAAAAAAAAGAATAAATTTAAAAAAAAATTTTATTTTTAATTAACTTTAAATTTTTAAAACTATTTTTAAATAAAATTTAAATTATCTAATTATCGACTGTTATAATGTAATAATAATAATAATTTATATATGCTTACGAATAGCCGAGCCAATAACGTTACTTGGTCCCGAACTGGAACCTGGTTCATTCCATACAATTGGCGTTAAACGACGAGGAGTGCTCCGCCTAGGAGGAACCGCTTTCATTGACCTTCTTGTGCTCCCGGTCAGCCTTGGGATTTGCTTTTTCATATTGACTGAATCGAAAGGTTCACTTGCTTCTGCTTCGCGTCCTTCTTCGATTTCTCCGAGAGCAAATTGAGGTTTTTCACCTTCTGAAGTAACTCCGTCATTTTCTTCTTCTAAATTTATAATTTCTGGTTCTTCTCCAGAAGTATCGTCTTTTTCAGGAGGTTCTTCTTCTTCGTCCTCACCGGCTGATTCTAAAGAAAAAATTATGTTTAAAATTTATTAAAATTTTTAATTTATTTAAAGACCCCATGTTCATATATATATCTGATATAATCAGTACACAGTACATACCTGACAATTCAGGAGGAGGAGTTTCACAATGATCATCGTCCTCTGTTATAGTGACAACAATATCAGGAATATTTAAAGCAACATCGTTTTCTTCTTCCTCTACGTGAACAGCGCTACTTGAACTTTGACCTACTTCATTAACTGTTTCACCAGTCGGTAATTCCTGAGGAGAAACTTGTAAAGGCGTAGTCGGAACACTTCGACCAGTTCCTGGATCTTCAAGATGAATACTTTCTTCGGAACCTTCTCCCGTTGCTGGTAATATTCCGCTTCTAGTAATAGGAGCCGATGGATCAGAAAACGTAAATCTTCAAATGAAGTATAATTTAAAAGGGTAAAATCACATTACAAGGGAAATAAAAAAAACCATGAGTCTTTTTTTTTTATGATTTGTAGACCTTATGAATAAATAAAAAATGTAAATTACCTTCCCTGATGAGGTATTTGTGGAGATGAAACCGCTTCTCCAAAACCGTCAGCTCTTCTAGGTATGAATAATGTAGGAGTACTTGGAACAATACTGTCATCTCCGGATTCTTCATAGCTTTGAGGAAGAATTAATTGTGATTGCGGCTGCCTATTTAACAAAGGTACACTTCGATTTCGAAACGCTTGTGACGATAATGAAGATGCAGCGTGACTGACAATCTTAAAATTAATAAATAAAAGAAGTTAATTACACAATTGAATAATAAAATTAATAAATGAATCGTTTAAAAAATAAAAATAATGCTAACCACAATGTTGTTTTCATTTTCGTTATTTACGGGTCCACTGCTTGTGGCCTCTGAAGATTGTTGTAATGATTGATGCTGATTTTCATTTTCAACCGAAGATGCCACAGGTACTGTCACAGTACCAGACGACGATGATTGAGTTGGATCGCGTGTTGCTTCGTTACGACTACTTCCTGATTGATTTGGAACTTCGTTACTATCATCAACAACTTCTACCTCATTATTATCTTGATCCGTTACATTTTCTTCATCGATATCAGGTCCCTCATCGTATGTGGTTAATCCAATTTCCTATAAATAAACAGGTACGTAATATAATTTTCAAAACTATTTTAAAGTTTTAAAATTTGTTATGAAATAATACCTGGCCACTTTGGCTATAACTCCCGACCTCATACCCGCTGTTATCCTCTTCAAATTCATGTTCATCCTCACCACCTTCGACGTCCTAAATTGCAAATTACCATTATAAGATTATTTTTTTTGTTAGTTTTTGGATTTAAAAAGAAAAAAAAATTTTTTTTTTTAAATACCCCTTCGTCTGCATTTCCTTCTTCGTCAGAATCAATCATTATTAAATTATCATCTTCCTGATCTTTTTGCGAAGAAGTTGGAACCTGATATTCGACTTCAATACCTTCGGAATGAGTAATTTGATGGTGAAACACTTCTGCTTGATTGCCGGTTATTGTAACTCTAGCCCGTTTTCCCTGATGTTAAATAATTTTTTAAAATAAATTCAAAGTATTTTTAAGCAATTCCAATACAAATACGTACTTGAGGTCCCACTTTCGAAATGTCTTCCCCTTCTAAATTTGTTGAACTGTCACCTTCAACATCTCTTGTTCTTTTAAGACCTGCTTGAGTTGTAGTAACAGTATTGCTGCTGTTGGCTTGACTGTAAGCAATTCCGCAGCTCTGATCAATGCTTTGTTGTTGATTACTTTGAGTTGTAACCGTTGTAGTGGTTTGTTGCTCAACTCTTTCTCTAGGCATTACCAAAGCCACAGTTTGAGTTTGTTGTTGTTGCTGTTGAACTAACGATTGAGGTTGTTGAGACGATGTTTGCTGTTGAATTTCATTGTCATTAGCTTCCGCTTCCATTTCCTAAATTGAAATTTAATTAATTAACTATAAGTTTATTTTTTTTCTAAAACAATAATTAAAAAACGTTCTTACTTGAGTCGATTGAGCATCAGTACCAGTGTGAGTACCAACACTTAAAGGAGGAGCTACAACGATTTGTCGAGTAGGAGTGGCCGAACTAGTTGCTGGCATATAGTCGGTGTGACTAGATGTAGGACTAGAACTCATTGCCTCTCCACTACTTCCAGTCGTATGTACTATTTGTTGCTGGGGTAAAACCATTACAGGAGTGCTTTGACAAGATGATGTTTGATTGTTACTAGTTTGCGAGGTAGGCAAAACGGCAAGTGTTCGAGCTTGCATTGAAATAGTTGGGCGAATGCTTGCAAAAGGAGTTTCATTACCAGATCTCCAACACGGACCAACGGGACCCTAATTAAAATAAAATCATTTACCTTTTTCTTTCTAACTACGGTTATTTTTATTTTTATTTTTTTTTCTTACCGTTGTTTGTTTTTCTTTTCTCGGTGAAGATGAAGAACCAGCCATGGGTTTAATATTAGCAGTTGGAGGTTCCATAGAACTTTTATCCGGTGGCCTTGTACTGGTAGAAGGTTTAGCACCATGTTGTTTTTCAAATAAACGCTGCAACTGATTTATTTTTTGATTTAATACCTTTATTTGATTATTCATACGCTCCCTTTCTTGTTCTCTTTCAGCAACTAGTCCAGCTTTTTCTTTATCAATTTCAGATATTTTTGATTCGTAATGAGTTTTAAGAGTGTTTATTTTTGAATTATTTTCATCTATATAAAAAAAAAATGACAATTATAAAGTTAATTATTAAAGTAAGTAACAAATGGATTATTTTTTAATAACTTAAATTAACAGAGACGAGTTTAAAAGGTTTCAAAGCGATAACGAACCTTTTGACATTTCATTTTCTTCTTTAATTTCTTTTAATTCTAATTCTAAATTCTTTTTTTGCTCGGATAATTGAGCTATTTTCGTCCTTGCATTTTTCATTATTGTTTTTACACGTTCTTCTTTTTCATTAATACTAGTTTTTAAATTTTCGTTATCTTTTTTTAAATGATCAGATTCTTCCTGAGCGGAAAAAACGCTTGCCTCCAATTCTTTAATTTTTTCAGATAATTTTGCTTCTTGTTCTGTAAGCCTTGTTAAAAGCTCACTTTTGACTTCTGCTCTCCCCTCTTCTCTTATCTTTTCTTTTTCTTCTTCCATTAATTTCAAATTACTTTCCTCTTTTACTTTTTTTACTTCATCTTCTCTATCTTTTTTTTCTTCTTCAACAGTTTTTAAAAGGATCTCATATTGTTTTTTATACTTATTACAAAGTCTTCGAAGCTAAAAAGGAAAAAATTCGTAATTTAAATTTTCATTAATTTTTTTTTTTAAATTTATAATAGTAATGGTAGACCTGCTGTGCTACTACTCTATAAAAACCATCAAAAATTAAATGAAAAATTTGTAAGCTTCGTATCTGTCTGAAAAAAAACCCTAAACATATTTCAGTCATCAGAAAGCATTTTTAATATAGGAAAGCAAAGTAGCACTTAATTATGTCTTAAAAATTAATGCGAATCAACTTTCCATTTTAATTGTAAAATAAAATTAAAAGAAAAATACCTTTTCCTCTTTAGTTTTATATTCTTTTATTTCATTTTCTTTCGTTTCAACTTCTTTTGATAAATTTGCAGATTCTTCAATGACTTTATTTAATTGAATTTTGGTAGTGTTGAGTGCTTCACTTGTTTTAATAAATTGCTGCTTAAATGAATTACAATCTTCAGTTAAACGTTTTATTTCGTTTGTTTCATTCAATAAAGTTTTTTGAATTTGAACTAATTGTTCGTTTAAAGATGTCTTCTCTTGTTTTACTTTTTTCAATTCATCTTCAAGTTTTTCATTTATATTTTTTTCCAACTGCCATTGTTTAGCTAAGTTTTCTCTTTCATTGGTTAGTCTTTTCCAGTCTTCGGGTGTTCCTTTTGTTGACTTTTCCGCTCTTTGTTTCCATTTTGCCAAATCCATCAAGAGAGCCTGATTTTCCGCAGTTAATGTCTCCACTTTCTCGTTCAGTTTTTTAATGTCGGCTTTCAACGGAGCCAAAGCACTTTCAGCCTTTTCAACTTCTTCTTTTAAACATTTAATTTCTTTTTGAAGTTTATCGCGTTCTTCACGTAGTATCCGATTACTGTCAGTTATGGCATTTAATGTGTCAATCTTTCGTAAAAGTTCGGCATGTTTCGCAGAAGCTTTCAAAGACGCATCCGATGTTTCTTGAGCTTTTTTCAAATTTTCTTTGGCTTCTTCCAATTGTTTTGTCAATATTGTAAACTGAGTCTTCAACCTCACATTTTCTGCTTGTAAAATTTCACTTTTTGCGATTGCAACATCTTTTTCCTGACGCAAAAATTTAATGACTTTAAGTAATTGGTCTTGAGCCTTAGGTCCCAATTCGGAAGAATCACTTAAAGAACTTTCTTTAATGGATTTGTTTTCGTCATTCGAAACCTGGAACAATTTTTTTATTAAAATTAAGTTTGCACATAAAATTTAGAAAATCTCTTGAATAAAAAATTATTATTGATATGTTTATGATTTAAAATCGTGATTAAGTAAAATTAATGTCTTTAGAAAGGTATTAGTAAAATAGTGTTAGTTTTCAATAGTTTTAGTAAATATACTAACACGAGATTGTAAAACGGCAACTTGATTTCCAAGTTCTTGAATATGTTCGTGCAAAACCCGATTTTGTTCATCCAAATCTAATAATCGCTGATTTAATTGCTTTAATTCTTCGACGGCTTTATTTTCTTTTTCTTCCCATGATGATGACATTAATTTCAATGTTTCAACGGAATCATCTCTCTCGGTTTTTAGTTTTTTAATTTCTAGTATTGCTTCCGAAAGTTCTTTTTTGACAGAGCTCAATGCCTGAATATCAGAGCTGTGTAAAACCACTTCATTTGAATATTTTTTTTCAGCTTCTTCCAACGATTCTAAAAAATTAATTTATTTCTCTTTAGGATTTTACCGATGAATAAAATGTGTTAAAATAAAAATGAATCCCGAAAAACAACCTTTAGTACTTATAAAGAAAAGTTGCATGTTATAGTTTTAGTTAAAAATTTTATAAATTACTTACTACTTAACATTTGAATCGTCTCCTTAGATTTTTTAAGCTCATTTTCAGTAAACGTCAACTCGTTTTTCAAATTGATTAACTCACTATTTGTACTTTTCAATTCCGAACTTGAACTTTCTAATTTAGCATTCATTTCCTCAGCTGAATTCTTTTGTTTGTTTGAAATAAATTGATATTTTTCTTCTAATTCTTTATATTTTTTTTTCCATTCATTTTCATTCGACGTTAATTCTTCAATTCTACAAAATATTATTTTTTTTTTTTTTTTTAAAGACTGATTATTAAAAAAATTTGTACACTAAGAATATTGTATTTTTTACTTTGTCGTCATAAGTGCTTTTAAATTATCTTGCTTTTCATTAGCTGCGGTTAATTCTTTTTCCAAGCTTTCTGCCATCTCGCAATATTGTGAACAATGTTGTTTCGCTGCTGACAGTTGAACTTCCAAACATGAAACATCGTGTTTTAAATCTCTCACTGTTTTTTCTAGTTCTTTATTTTTTTTCGTTGATTCATCAAGATTAACGGACACTAAAAATAAAAACAGATAAATGCTAATTAATATTACTACAAAAAAAAAAAAAATCAACTAAATGTTTTCATCAATATAAAAACCACTTTAAAAAAATTTTTTAAAATTCGGTTAAATTTCTTATATAAAAACTCACCGCTTTCAATAACATTTTTTGTAGGTAAATTATTTAGTTCTCTTATCTTCAATGATAATTCTTCTATTTTTTTGTTTTTCAATTCCAATTCTTGATTAACAATTTCTAATTGCTCTCTAGCTTTTTCAGCTAACTTCTTTTCTTCCAGCATTCTTTCTTTGGCAATAGCAGTTTGACGTTCTAATGATGCAGCCAATTCCTTAAACCTAGTCTTTTCTTCTTTTAATGCACTTTTTAAAGCTGTGCATTCTTTAACAGTGTCGCTTAATTGAGCTTCAAGTCTCAATTTCCCTTCTTCTTCGGATCTTTCGAAAGTAGCTTTAATGGCGTCCAAATTGGACATCAAAAGTGAATGACTATGTTTTTCTCTGTTGAAACACTAGAATAATTTATTTATTAATAATCAATACACCAGACAAAAAGTAATGGTTGTGTTTTAGATAATAAACAATGTATTACTTCATTTTCTTTCTGAAGTCTTGCTTCCGTTGTTTTTAACAAAAAGTTTTCATGTTTTAAATTTTCTAATGCAACTTCTGCTTTTGATAAACTACTCTGCAACTGCATAACTTCATCTCTCAAATGAATCGTAGATTGCTCATGTTTAGCACTGATTTCGCTCAACATCAAATTTCTTTTTTCCAGAGCTTCAATTTGTTTTTTACATGATTTTATATTCGATTCCATTACTTTAAATTTTTCTTCATTGAATTCGGCTTGAGCTACGAGTTTGCTATTTTTGTAAATTAAATCATTCGATTCTTTTTTAAGCGAGTGAATTTGCTCTTCAAATCGTTTTTCTATTTTTGCTATCTCGGATTTTAAATTATTTTTTTCATTTTCAAGTTCTATTTTTTCTTTTTCGATTTCTTTAATTTTTAATTGGAGCTAAAAATTAAAAGTTTTTATTAATTTAAAGTATGAGTAAAAAATAATTCATTAATTATCGTGCAATAGAAAAAAAAATGAAAGTAAATTTGTAACAATAAATTGTGTATTGTGATTTAATTACCTTTTCCAATTTCTCAGAATTTTCTTCAGATTGTGTTTTTTTAGGTGTAGAAGTTACAACTCCGGATTTGACTGGAGACGTAAGAGTTTGATCAGCCTAAACAGACATTAATAAAACACTTTTTGAACAAAAACTTTATAAAATTTATAGCCAAATTTATCTGTCGTACAATTAGCCTGTCTCAGGTTAAATTTTTATGAATGCATATGAATAAATTCAGAAAAGTATCGCTTTTTGAGATTGATCATATAGTCTCAAGCTATTCTTAAATTACAAGATAGCGAAACAATCAATTTCTCGGCCAAATATCATCATTGATGTCAAAATTTAAAAGTAATTTAAAAAAAAAAAAAAAAAAAAACTTTAAAAACATATTTAAGGTTTATATAAAAAAAAATTAATTAAAAATTAATCTAACCTGATGCAACTCTCCTCTAATTGCTTGCTCATACAGTTTTTTATAAGTCATACTTTGATTTTTAATTAAATCTAACATTTTTGATTGTCTTTCCATGTCTTCCATTAACTCGTTAACTTTGAGTTGCAATTTTTCTTCTTTTACCTAAAAAAAATTAAATAAATTGAAAACAAATTTTTTTTTTCTTTTTCGGTTTAATAAACTTTGATTCTCTTTAATTACTTTTAAATCATTAAATTCTGACGCAGAAATTTTTTCAGCGGCTTCCTGTTTTTCACTTAATTGTCTCACCAACGCCAATAATTTTTGATTGTTTTGTTGTAAATCTTGTATACAACTAAATGTTACTAATTTTTTGCTAATTACATGCTGAGCCGAACTTTCAGAGTCGTCATACGACACTTGTGAAACATCAATATCTGAAACAAATCCTCCCCTGGCTTCTTCTACTGACTTAATTAAATAACACACTTGACGACTTAAATCAACGACTTCTTTTTTTAACCTTTCATTGTCACGCTTTAAGAAACCGTTACTTTTTTTTAATTCTACACATTCCTCTTGGAAAACTTTAGATTCTGCTACTATATTATCCATTTGCTTTGTCAAACTATTAAGATTATCAAGAGCATTTTCATAATCGATTCTTTGTTGTTTCAATTTTGGTGCTTTCTCTTCAATTTCCTAAAAAAATTAATATACTTCATTAAATTTTTTTTTTTTTTTAAAATCTTAAATGAATAATAAAATTTGTACGTACAGCCAAAATTGTATTGATGTATAACGACAATTTACGATTTTCTTCTTTTTCTAATAAAAGTTGCTCAGAGACTGTAGCATATTGAGTGTATATTTGAGTTAAAGACATTCCAGATTTAATTAATTTACTAGCTGCAGCAGCAGAAGGAGATAAATTTGCAATAACATTTTCTAAATTCTCTGAAAAAAAAAAAAAAAAATACAAAATCTTTTATTGGTAATTATATTTATGATTATTTTATATAATACACTATAAAATAATTAAATTAAATAAAGAAACCATTAATAACTAAATTAAATACCTTCTTTGGCGATTTTTAACAATTCATTTGCATCATTGAGTTCTTTCTTTAGCAGCCTAATACATTCATTTTTTTGTAAAATTTCTTCTTCATGTTGAAGAATCATCATTTTTTGATTTGTTTCAAGTTCACCATATTGCTCACTGGCATTCTTTAATAAATTTTGTAATTCATTAATAGCATTAGTCAATTTTTCTGTTTTTAAATCATTTTCTTCACTTAAACCTAAAAAAAAATGGATGATTTTATATTTTATTTAAATGGATTCAAATATTGGAGTGCAAAAATTTTATTCTTAATATTATTTGCTCTAAATATATCTGTACAAACTTGTAAAAATTAATTCAAATTTAAAAAAAAAACAAACCTTGATATAGTTGAGTTAATTTTGTTTGAGCTTGGAGTTCTTGTTGGAAATTATCAAACATTTGATCAGAGGAATTTCTTTGTTCTAATAATTTTTGAAGCAACGATTCAACTTTTTGAGAAAGTTTCTCATTTGATTCTTTTAAATCTAAAATGGTGACTTCAGATATTTTTAATTGTTGAGTTTTCTCCGATATTTCTGATTCTAATAAAACAAATTTTGTAGAATTTTCTTTTTTTAAACGTGCTAATTCTGCTGTTTGTTTATTTAATTCTTCATTTAAACATTGAATTTGATTTTTTAATAACAAGGATTCTTGCTCAATTCTCTTTTCTCTATTAATAAAGAAAATTTTAATATTACATTTACAAAATAAAAAAATAAGCTTAATGCTTCATATGTATAGTCAAGATTAAACAGTAAAAGAACTTAAAATTTTTATTGATTAAAATAAATTATTATTAAAGCTTACTTGTAGGTTAATGATATCTTTAAACTTTCAACTTCCTCCGAATTTTCTAAGGCTATTAATTTTGCTTTTACTGCTGCCTGAAGTTGTTTACTCAAATCATTTAAATCCACTTTTAATGTTGAAATTTCAGAGTTTCTTCTTTCAATCATTTGTAATAATGATTCTTTTTCATCCATGGCTTGATCTCTTTGAATTTTGAAACTTTGCCATTCACATTGAAGTTGCTTATTTTGCTCATATAATTTTTGGCCATTTTGTTCGGCAATTTGAAGTTTTTCTAATGTTTCTTTATATTCGGAATTAATTGCATCTAATTTAGTAATAGTATCTTCTAATGTTTTATTTTTTTTACTAAAATCATCTTTAAGAATTTTAATTTCCTTTTCTGAAAAATAAATTATACAATTACATCTAAGTATTGTGCATGTGAAAACTTGTTTAAACAAATATAATTACAGCATACAGCAAGAGCAACAGACTTAAATATTATACATTAACCCCTTATCTTTAAAAAATAAATTTTTATATATAAATGTTATAATAGTAATTGTAACCAAAATAATATCAACAACTAGTTGTTACAACATGAATTTACAAAGCCTAAATGAACCTATAAAATTACTTTAATATTAAAATACAAGAAAATATACATGTCAAAAAATTAAATTTTTTAAAGTATATTTCTAAAAGTAAAAAAAAAAAAAGCTTTACAAATTTTTAATACTCATCTAATAATTTTTAAAAAATCGTTTTTTTTCATCGTAAACGACAAAGCAAGTAAAACAATTTTTCAAGTAGGCTCTTATTAATTGACCATAATATACATTGTAAACTACTGTTGATTTAAAAGTTCAAGCATAATAAAATTTAAGTCAAGTGTATGATAACTTTTAAGTGTAAATTTTAAAAAAATATTTATACCAACCATACTGAAATTTAGATGTTTCATACAAAGCTTTATTTGTAAGAAATTCTTCAAACGATCGTTGGAACGAATTTTCTAATTTTTCTGCTATTAAAATAGGGAGCGAATCGTATTCTTCTTCATTTAAAATTTTCTTTAGTGAACTACTTGCTTCAATAATATTGGTCGCGTTCGTATTGCTTAGATTTACCTCTTCCTCTACATCGTCCATGTTTAATTTGAAATTTACGCGTCTATGGATTATAATTTAATAAAACTTTACCTAATGCCACGATCATTACGCACATACCTCAACTATAGCCGGCTGAAAAAATTACGATATATGATAATTTTATAAAATAAATCCTAAATTAAAAGTAGATTCTTTAAATAAAATTAAAATTTTTTTTTGTTCAATTAATTTTAAAAAAAAATATTTTATTGTCATATTAATACATCATTTATCTTTTGATAAATATACTGTATAACATTACAAAAATAAATACGAATAAATATATATTTACGACGTTATAGATTTTTTCCAGATTGTATATTATTTGAAACAAATATATTTTCAATTCAGTAAAAATTTTTTTTTTAATAAAAGAAATGACTTGGGAGTTTTATATGACAATAATTTGAAATAAAAAATGATTAACAAGTTTTCAAAATTGTATTTATAATTTAAATATATATATAATTACATTATCATTTAGATACCCAATTATTAAACGATAGGCTGAAGAGCAAATAATTTTACACACATTAATTGCTTTGGAAAATTTGCTTGCTTACTTTGTTTAACAATATTAAGATTAGCTTCTTTAAAAATATTTAAAAATACATTATTTGATCGAGTTACAGAAGAATCCTGTTCATCCATTATCAAATTTTCTGATGATACATTTTCTTTAACAACAATGATACCATTTTTTCTAAGTCCTCTTTTACAACGTTTAAAAAAATTAATTAAATCACTATCTGTCAAATGACCGAGAACCCACTGACACCATATCACATCGTAAAAATTTGCTTCAGGAGTAAAATCTTGCAAACCACAAGTATAAAAATTTTCTATTTTTTTTTCAAAGCTCAAAAATTTTTTTGCAGCTTCAATAAATTTTGGATTTTGCTCCACTAAATCAACATGATGAAAATGCTTGACAAGTAGGTTTTTGGAAATTCTTCCAATACCAGCTCCACAATCTAAAGCTCTGTTGTTATTTGGTTTATTTTTTTGCTAAAAAAAAAAAGAATGATTTTTATAAAATGATTTAAAAAGTGTAATAAATTAAATTCAAAGATGTTTTAACAAAAAAAATAAATAAATTTTGTAACGCTTCTAAACAACTTACACTAAATATTTTCATTAAAAATAATTCTGAGCCTTTTATATCAATACTAGACAAACAACCAAAGCCTCCTAACATTCCGTCAACAGTCGGTTCAACCGATGACCAATAGTCTTGAGCATTTTCATAAAATTTACTTTTCTCATCGGTTAAATTATTCTCAAGATCTTTTAAATCTTCCATATTTAACGCAAATTTAAAGGTGTGTGCTTATTGTAACGTAAATGAAATATATATAAAATGGCACAATTGAACTAAATACTTGATTAAATATAAATGTAATTTTTATTCTCAAATTTTTATTGTCTGCGATTGACCCATCATAAAAACAAAAACTATAATAACATCATATTAGTTATGTTATTAAAATCTAATAAAAACTTATTCCTTCGTTTGAAAATTTTGTTGTCCTGATTTTTTAATAATCGCAAGTTGCAAACTTGTTTTATTTATTTATTTAAATGTTGTCATTACTTCCTACTATTCCTAATAGAAGACATTTGAGAAGATAATCTATCATCATTTCCTTATAATAATAATTTACACAATTAATATTATTCACAGAGAGGTTAAAAAATTCATTTGTAATTAGTATAACATTATATTTGCCACTACTAATATAATATATTATATTTAATAAAATTTTCAACTTATATGTATTTAAAAGAAATTAATGATTGCTTACCCTAAGTACTGAAAAAGTTTAAAGGTATTTAAAAAAAACAACAAAAACTAAAATCACATTTTACATAACATTATTCTATTTAATCTATTAAATTTACAATATTTGTATTATTATTATTATAATTATTATTATTATTATACAAAAATGGCAGTGGTTAAAACTGTATTACCTTTTATGGCACAAAAAAAAAAAAAAAACAATCATGATTAAAAATATTGTCAATTATTATTAATTAATTATAATAATATTTTAAATTATAGAAGGAAAATTTTGGTGTTTTTAAAAATTTTAGTTATAGCTAGATTTTATGCTTGTAAAAAAAAAAATTGTTAATTTAAAACCTATTTACTGTAACAAATTTTTATAAATTATTTTTAATTAAAACTTTGGTCTTAATCTGGTTGAGTCAATTATTATTATTATTTTATAATATAATTTTTATTTTATCTTATTAATTAAAATGAAAACAATAATTTTTCAAAATTGATTATTTAAAATAAAGTAAAAAATATTTAAACATTTAAAGCTACTAAATTTTGCCAAACGTTAATTTTGTAATTTTTTAAAAATGTTTTAATGTTATAAAAATTTTTAAAAGTTCTTTTCGTAGTTGAATTTTTTTTTGTTTCAATAAAGCGTTCATTAAAAAAAAATTTATTTAATAAATTGACTTACAACCATAGCAATTATGTTTTGATTTTTAAAAAAAATTTTTTTTTTTTTTTTAATATAAAATTTTTGGCAGTTTGATTTACATAAATTTTATTTGGTGCTACACGAGTTTAATACATACGCTACATCTACTAACTCTTGTTCTGAGACTTCCTTCCTTTAGAGTTTGTTTTTCAGGAGCCTTAAATTGATCACGATCTTCAATAGTGGCAAGCCAAAAACTGAATTTGTTGGCAAAGTAATGGCAAGTACCTCTGGCTCCATTACATTCAATAAATGGCGTGGCACGGAAGTCTTCTAAACAAGAACCAGGACTTGCGAGTGATTGTCCTCCACCTTCTGCTCCGGCAGCTGTATGCTATAATAATTTTAAAAAATACAATCGTTAATAAAAATTTGAAAAATAATTACGTTTTTTTTTTAAAATTTACATAAGTAATATTAAAGGGTAAAGAATAATTAGAATTTATATCTACTATTAGAAAATGCACAGGGGTTTAAAAATTTATTAATTATTATTTTACCATAACAAAACTGTATCCGATCCATAGTGAGCCCCAACCTTCTGGACATTCGGGCACATTAAGAGACTGACTGTGGACCGCTATAACGTTGGATGGTGCCTCGCAGACTACGCACCTAAAATCAAATATATTCACAATGTGTAATACGATTCACGATAATCATTATTTTCAATAATCTGCGTATAACCTTGAAATGTATTGGCGAATGGCTGTTTCTTCAACAGGCATCATTGGTAAAGGCGAATTAGTGGATAACCAATAGGACTTATCGTTTCTACTAGCGTAATTGCATACATTATTGAAGTCACAGAACAAGAAAGGCATCGTACTAAATTTTTGCACGCACGATCCAGCAAAACCTAAATGATTTTTCAATAAATAATAATTATTATTTTCAGTAACGATTTTAGTTACGTTAAAAAACTCTACACTGTAAAAAGAGTTTACCAAGATCTTGATGATGCGCTTTTTCATTTCCTTCAATATAAAGTAAACTGTATCCTTGCCATAATTGAATATGATCCGGTTCACATCTAGGAATTTGTGTACTTTGACTGTGACGAACCAACAAAATTCCAGAAGGATAATCTGGAGCTCTAGTACAAGGCTGTCCTGGTTCTCCTTTATCACCTGGAAGACCCGGTGCTCCCTAAAAAAAGAATCACACATGCTCATATCTAATTTTAAACGATGCGAAAAATGTTTTTGTAAACAACGCTTACGGGTGCACCGGCATATCCGGGTGGACCTGGAACGCCTGGTTCTCCTGGTGGACCTATTGGACCTACAAGTCCGTCTAATCCTCTTCTACCGGGTTCTCCCTTGGGTCCTGGGGCTCCTGGGGCTCCGTCTAAACCTTTTAATCCTGGAGGACCTGGAGGTCCAGGGAAACCTAAAATAATAATAATTTACTTAATATTTCTTACGTAAAACTCGAATTTAAAATCAAAAAGAATTTTAAAAAAATAACATCTGTTTAAAATTGGATTATTTTTTTTTTTTTAACTTACCTGGAGCACCTCTATCTCCTTTAGGACCTTGCTGAGGAGGTAATCCGGGTTCTCCCTTGTCTCCTTTGAAACCCATTTGTCCTACAAATCCGTCAATACCCGGTAAACCAGAAGAGCCTTTGTCACCTTTCATACCTGGTGCACCAGCCGCTCCGGGAATGCCATTAAATCCTTGGTCTCCTTTTGCACCTGGGAATCCAGGCGGTCCTTGTTCTCCTGTTTATTAATTTATTAATATTAGTGAATAAATATAGTTGCACAGAAAGTATTATTAATTGTTAATAATAATATTTAAAAAAAAAAAAAAAAAACAATTAAAGAGGTTTCATTTTCAAATATTTGTCAGGCAGAATACTTTCCATATTTAAAAGTACTGTCAAAAGTTTTAACGAAAATTAGAATTAAAAAATATTTTTAAAATTTTTACATGCCTGGAAAACCTTGATCTCCCTTTTCACCAGGTAAACCTCCAACCCCCGGTAAACCTTGATCTCCTTTTTCTCCAGTTAATCCTGGGTATCCATCTGCTCCGCGTTCTCCTTTCAGACCTGGAGGTCCTGGTAATCCGTTAAAGCCAGGTGGTCCAGAATCTCCTTTTTCTCCTTGCAATCCGGGTCTACCCACAGGGCCTGGTGGTCCTGTGACACCTTGTAATCCAGGAAGTCCAGGTTCACCTTTTTCTCCTGGAGCTCCACGAGCACCATCTCGTCCATTTTTACCCATTAATCCAGGTAAACCTTTTTCTCCTTTAACTGTAAGTCCTGGCAATCCAGGAACTCCGGGAGCACCAGCTTCACCTAAAATTCAATTCGCCAAAAGTTTTTAAAAACGCTTGTTTTTTGTTTCTCAAATTTAAACCATAGTACTTTGTGACGTCTTGTTTAATTGTAATTGTAAAAAATAATCAAGTTTTTATTTTAACTTTACCTTTAAATCCTCGTTCGCCGACGAATCCTGGAGGTCCTCTCAAACCTGCTGGTCCGGGGCTTCCTCTTTCACCCTTAGCTCCTGGAAGACCTGCAATTCCTTGATTTCCTGGTTCACCGACAGCTCCCGGTAATCCTGGGAGACCGGGTTCTCCTTTATCTCCCTTGACATCAATGACAGGTCCGGGGGGTCCTCTATCTCCTTTTTCTCCCGGAGTTCCAGGAAAACCAACTACTCCAGGAGCTCCTGTTTTTAAATAAAAATACAAACAGATTTTTTTAGTTTTATTCGAAGGGAATTCATTAAGTATTCATTCCTTTACAATAATACTAATCACCTCCAGGACCACGCTCTCCCTTTAATCCGTTTAATCCCTCTCTTCCTGGGAATCCTCGATCTCCTTTGAGACCTGGCAACCCTGGAGCTCCGCTCAGTCCAGGAGGACCAGGTTCCCCTGGTCTACCATCAGCTCCAGGTAATCCTGGAAGTCCAGGGGCTCCAGCCAATCCCTAAAAGCATTGGGTGTATTTTACCACCATTTTTAAATTCCCATTTTTTTTTTGAGATACATCAATTAGTTGTTTTTAAAATGTGCAAACCTTATCTCCTTTTTGTCCTAATAATCCGGGGAATCCTGTATCACCTTTTTGTCCTGGTAAACCGTCCATACCCGGTAGTCCTGGAATACCGTCTGCACCTTTATCTCCTTTAGGACCAGGTCTTCCAATTCCTGGTAAACCTGCGTCACCTTTTTGTCCTGGGAAACCGTCTGCTCCCTTTAAACCTGGCGCTCCTCTTAATCCTGGGAAACCAGGTTCTCCTTTTTGACCCTTTTCAGAAGTTAATCCGGGTTCTCCTTTAGATCCCTAAAATTTTAAATAAGTGCGTACTAATGAATTACTCAAATTATTACAAGAAAAAAATACAAAATAATTAAATGTTAATTAAAATATGTACTAAATAAATTAAAACGGAAAATAGATTTAATTTAATATTTTTTAGCATTCAAGTTAATTAGACCGTATAGGATTTATTTTAATTCTTTTAAAGTTTTAGAATAACTTCGATTTTTACTGTTGTTGAATAGTACTCACTGGTAAACCAGGTCGTCCGGGTTCTCCCTTAGGTCCTACTTGACCAACTGGACCAGGAGGTCCAACTAATCCCGGAGAGCCAGTGTCACCCTTTTGACCGGGTAAACCAGGGAAACCTTTTTCGCCGTCCATTCCAGGTAATCCGGGTGCTCCTGCAAATCCAGCTTCACCTTTGTCTCCTTTCATTCCATTAAACCCATCTACTCCAGGTCTTCCTTGAGGACCTGGTAAACCTCTGGGTCCAGGGAAACCTTTCGGACCATCTATACCGGGCACACCTCGATCTCCTTTAGCACCTGGGAAACCAGGAGCTCCTGGTCGACCACCTAATCCTGGCTTTCCTTTGTCACCTTTTAAGACAAAAACGGATTTTTAGAAATAAACGCCGTTTTCAAAGGAAAAATCTTGTTTTTCTTGTATTATCATTATTACATTCATCATAATTGTTATCAATTTGAGATTTTATAAAATAAACTAGTGGTAAAACGAATTATTCAATGAAAATAATTACCTTTAGGACCATCAAATCCTCGAGTACCAGGCTGTCCAGGTAATCCCGGAGGACCAATTGGTCCTGGTTCTCCCGGTTCTCCTTTCATACCCGGTAATCCTTCTAATCCGGGAGCTCCTATGTCTCCCTTTTCTCCCTGAGCCCCAGGCAATCCTGGAGCCCCATTAACTCCGTATTTCCCTGGTGGTCCCATGGGTCCTCTGTCTCCTTTTTCACCAGGTGCTCCTATAGGTCCTGGAGGTCCTATTCCTGGAATACCTGGCTCACCTTTTTGTCCCTTCGGAGCAATGGGTCCTGGAGGACCAGGCTGTCCATCTCTTCCTGGTTCACCTGGGAAACCCATTGGTCCAGTATTTCCTTTATCACCCCGTGGGCCGGGTAATCCCCGTGGTCCTACGGGTCCTGGTATTCCAGGCGCTCCAATTGGTCCAGCTTCACCCTAATGAAAATACCATTATGAAAATATTAAGTGAAAAACAAAAATAGTAGCAAATTTCTCAGTTTTAAAAATTCGTACCCGCAATCCTTGTAATCCTTTTTCACCTGGCCATCCTGGTCTTCCGGGTGGACCTGGCTCTCCTTTTTCTCCAGGGAAACCTCTATTTCCTTTCAATCCCTCAGTAATATTTTGAACAGGACAGAGACCTGTAAAGTATTTTATATAAAAAATTTTGCATAATTTTTAAAACTTTTCAGTAATTAAATTAAAACATACCTGGCTCTCCCTTGGGACCATATCTTCCCGGTTCTCCTTTATCTCCTTTATCTCCCTGACGCCCTGGTATACCAGGTTCTCCTTTCACACTAGTACCTTTCTCTCCTTTAGGTCCTGGTATACCATATGCTCCGGGTGCACCATCCAATCCAGGGCTACCTTTTTCACCTGAGTCTCCTTTTTCTCCGGGGAATCCTACATCACCTTGTCTAAAAGTTATAATTTTATTAATGAACTAAAAATTAAATAATTCAATAAAATAAATTTAAATTTTTTAAATTGTTTACCTTCCCTGAAAACCTGGCGGACCAGGGGGTCCAGGTGAACCTTGTCTACCAGGTGGCCCTCTTGGTCCAGGTTCTCCTTTGGCTCCTTTTACCAAATTTTCGGCTACAAAATACGAAGCTCCTTTTTCTCCTTGTAATCCTGGCGCTCCGGGAATACCATCTTTTCCCTTAATTTGAAATTTTATTATTAAAAAGCAAGAAAATATTTTTTAAATTTTGTACCTGCCAAAAAATAAATTTAAATAGCTAACCGGTTTTCCAGGAGGGCCTGGTAATCCAGGAATTCCATCAACTCCTGGTTCTCCTGGGAATCCTCTTTCACCAGGAGGACCTCTTGGTCCAATGGCTCCCGGTAACCCATCCACTCCCCTGTCACCCTTTTCTCCTCGCACTCCTGGAGCACAATTTTGACATCGTCCTCCCATTTCTCCTTTTTGTCCTCTTTCACCTTTAATTATAATATTTATTATGAATATATATTTTTACACCCTTACTCCAAAACTATCAAAGAAAGTGAAACATACCGGGCATGCCGGGAACACCAGGGCGACCATCTGTTCCCTTTTCTCCTGGGGCTCCTACTCTACCTGGAGGTCCAGGTATACCTTGCAAAGAATCACCGGGAAGACCTCGCAACCCAGCATATCCTTTTTCTCCCTTTGCTCCTTTTTCACCATCAGCTCCTGGTGATCCATCCATTCCTTTAGGACCCTTGAAAAAATTTATTAACAGGTTTTTAATGTTTATTTTTAAAAAAAATTACGTTGAAGTACTTCTTTTTAAAATAACTTTATTAATTTTTTTAAATATTTTTCATACCACTATTGATATTCCGGTTTCTCCTCTTACTCCTTTCGGTCCAGGTGGTCCTGGAGGACCTGTGTATCCTCTTGGCCCAATTCCTCCGGGAAATCCTTCAAGTAAAATAAACGAAACGATTAATATTAAAAAAAAAAAAAATCTTTTTATCACATAATAAAAATATCAAGGTATACCTTGTAAACCAGGTTCTCCTTTTGCTCCTTTTTCGCCAGGTGCTCCTTCTGGTCCTGGCCTGCCAGGAACACCAGGACCTCCCGTTAAACCTTGAGGTCCCCTAGGTCCTTGTTCTCCAGGGTATCCATCTAAACCTTTTGGACCGGGAGGCCCAGGATAACCCCGAGGACCAGCTGGTCCCGGTGGGCCTGGCCTTCCTTTTCCACCCTATGAAAACAATAAAATTTAGTTCTCGGTTGGCTTGTCACAAATTTTTATCTTACTATATAAAGTACTTACTCCAGGAGGTCCTTGTATTCCTCTTAAACCAGGAGGTCCTGGAAGTCCATCCACTCCAGGTTCTCCTTTTTGACCTGGTCTACCAACCAAACCGTTTAATCCGTCAAACCCTCTATCTCCCTTTTGGCCTACAGGACCCGGGGGACCTGCAAACCCGTCTCTTCCCTATTGAAATTATTATAATTTTTTAGAGGCTGATTTTCAAATGATTTTAAATTTCATAATCATTATTTAAATTTAAATTTTATTCTTACTCGAGGTCCAGGGGGTCCTGGTAAACCTTTTTCTCCCATAGCACCAGCTTCTCCAGGGTAACCGGGTTCACCTGGTGGCCCCGGTTCTCCTTTTTGTCCTTCAGCACCGAAATAACCCGGCTCTCCTTTGTCTCCTTTATCTCCGGGAGCAGACGGTTTTATTTGGGTGCTAGATTCCGACAGTTTGAAGTAATTATAAGGTACAGTTGCCGGTGGACCTTGCGGACCCCTCTCTCCTTTGTCTCCTTTTTCACCTTTATCTCCTTCGTAAACTAATGTTTGAGTACACTTTTCTCCTTTTTGTCCAGGAGGTCCTTGCGGTCCCTAAAATGTTTTAGTTAAAAAATATTTTTTATTTTCATTTTCATTTTTAAATTTACACATTAAAGAATATTAGACTAAAATTAACGACAATTAAAATAATATATTATTATCTAAAAATAATAATAAATAAGAATTATTATCTAAAAATAACCTAATGTTTATATCAAATAATTAGAGAAATTTAATTTGTAAATGGAAAATTTTTACTTTCTTTTTATATTATGTTCAGCATTTAAACTTAAATTTTATTCTTACTTTAACTTATATTTCCTCTAACTTACTTGAGGACCAGTATCTCCTTTTTCTCCAGGAATACCAATTGAACCGGGCGAACCAGGAGCTCCCGGAGAGCCTCTGACACCATCTCTTCCGGGTTCTCCTTTTTGTCCTTTAGGCAATCTTCCGACGTATGCTGGTTCACCTTTGTAACCTTTTTCTCCTTTTACTCCAGGAAAACCTCTTGGTCCTGGTTGACCTGGGAATCCAGGTTGACCCGGAGGACCCTAAATTGTTAAATTGCATAAATTAAAAAAAAAAAAAACAACTGAATAAATCAATGAAAAATATTAAAATAAAGTTACATCAGTTCCGTTGCAGCCATCAACACCGGGAGTTCCAATTGATCCGGGAGGTCCTTGGGGTCCAGGAAGACCATGTCTTCCGGGAAATCCAGGTCTTCCTGGTTTTCCACGATCTCCTTTTTGTCCTCTGGGACCTCCAGGGCCGGGTTCACCTTTGCTACCTTTTGGTCCGGGCAAACCTTCAGTTCCTGGGAATCCTTGTTGTCCTTTAGGACCAGGCAAACCAGTTGTACCTGGTGGACCCTTTATACAAAAAGAAAAGAATCATAATTATTTTTATTAGCAAAACCTCATTAAAATAAAGTTTTTATTATACGTTTATAATAATTAAATACAAATTTACAACATGATAAATAATGTAGCATTTAATGTCATTTTGCTGTTGTGAAAAATTAAATTTTTATTTTCATATAATATAAAAAAATAATTTAATATTTAAAGTTTAGTCATATTCGAAAAAATTCCTAATGTCATTTTATTTAATTTTTAGTACGATTTCCTGAGGATATTAAAAAAAAGTGGGCGTAAAAAAAATTTATACGGGTCTTTTAATGATTAGTACGTAACATAAATTTTAAGATCATTAAATTTTTAATGTATATAATTCATTAAAATAAAACACCAGGCCATTTAAAGTATCAAGTAGTAAAATGAAAAAATCAAACACGATTTTAAATTTACATTAAATTTAATAATTTAGTTCCACTAAATACTATACTCTTAGAATCATCCTACTCTCAAAATAATTAGAACTTTGAACTGATGGATTATTATTAAAAATTATTATAAAAATAAAAACTTACCCTATTTCCTTTTTCTGCGTAACATTTCGGATAGCATAATGCAGCGCTACTACAGTTACCAGCGGCTGGTAAAATGGCATAAGAATCACCTCCGCCTCCTCTTCCGAAACCACTTCCTCTACCATCAAATGGCCCACCATATGAACCAGGGAAAGACGGTCTACCGGAACCTCTACCGTAACCAGTACCATCTCCAGTTCCATTACCGCTTCCTGACCCATCCGGATACGAGCCTCTTCCGAAACCGTCACCTCCTGCACCACCCGGATAATCTCCTCGACCAGGGTACCCGGGTCCACCCGGATATCCTGGACTTCCCGGAGATCCCGGGTAGCCTGGCCCGCCTGGATATCCTGGTCCCCCAGGATAACCCGGACTTCCTGGTGATCCTGGATAGCCGGGCCCGCCAGAGTATCCTGGACTTCCTGGACCTCCTGGGTAACCTGGTCCTCCTGGGTAACCCGGACTTCCTGGTGATCCTGGGTAACCTGATTCTCCGGGGTAGCCTGGTCCACCAGGTCCACCTGGTCCGCCTGGGCCGCCCGGATATCCTGGACTTCCTGGTGATCCTGGGTAACCTGATTCTCCGGGGTAGCTTGATCCACCTGGTCCGCCTGGGCCACCTGGATATCCTGGACTACCTGGTGATCCTGGGTAGCCTGGTCCTCCGGGGTAACCTGGACCGCCTGGATATCCTGGGCTTCCTGGTGATCCAGGGTAGCCCGATTCTCCGGGGTAGCCCGGTCCGCCTGGGTAACCCGGACTTCCTGGTGATCCTGGGTAGCCTGGTCCGCCGGGGTATCCTGATTCTCCGGGGTAACCTGATCCACCCGGGTAACCTGGGCTTCCTGGTGATCCTGGGTAGCCTGGTCCGCCTGGGTAGCCCGGACTTCCTGGTGATCCGGGGTAGCCTGATTCTCCGGGATATTCGGGTCCGCCTGGATATCCTGGACTTCCTGGTGATCCTGGGTAGCCTGATTCTCCGGGATATCCGGGTCCGCCTGGATATCCGGGACTTCCTGGTGATCCTGGGTAGCCTGATTCTCCGGGATATCCGGGTCCGCCTGGATATCCGGGACTTCCTGGTGATCCTGGGTAGCCTGGTCCGCCTGGGCTACCTGGTGATCCTGGGTATCCAGGGCTTCCTGGTGATCCTGGGTAATCCGATTCGCCGGGATATCCGGGTCCGCCTGGATATCCTGGACTTCCTGGTGATCCAGGGTAACCTGATTCTCCGGGGTAGCCGGGTCCGCCGGGGTAACCCGGGCTTCCTGGTGATCCTGGGTAGCCAGTTCCGCCGGGGTAACCTGGACTTCCTGGCGATCCTGGGTAGCCGGGTCCGCCAGGATATCCTGGACTTCCTGGTGATCCGGGGTAACCTGATTCTCCTGGATATCCTGGGTAGCCAGGTCCGCCTGGGTATCCAGGGCTTCCTGGTGATCCTGGGTAATCCGATTCGCCGGGGTATCCTGGACTTCCCGGTGACCCGGGGTAGCCAGGTCCTCCGGGATAACCAGGACTTCCTGGTGATCCAGGATATCCGGGTCCACCTGGGTAACCGGGGCTTCCTGGTGAACCGGGGAAACCGGGTCCGCCGGGATAACCGGGATAACCAGATTCGTTTGTTCCATCGTCTTGTCCAGGATAACCTTGTCCTGCAGAGTAACCATTTCGTCCACCTGATCTTGAATATCCTGATTGTCCGTCGCCGTCTCTGCCGTAAGGATCATACTCATCCTCATTATCTTCGTCGTCTGTGTTACCCGGATACCCAGTGCCTCCCGCACTGTATGGATCGTATTGTCCGTCTCTGTCGTAACCGTTTCCAGAATAATTTGGTGAACTGAATAATTTAAAACTGTGGCCTTGCCTACCGACACCAGGTGGATCTGGACCTTCATAGGTTACATTTCGGCCGTATGGATCTATGTAAGTATATCGGTATATGAATCTACCGTCTCCTGAATTGTACGAGCCATTTCTACCATTTCCGTATGGCCTGTAAACAACTCTTCTCCAAGAATCTCCATTATCGGCTCCTCTACTATCATCTCCATTGTCGTGGCCGTTTTCCTCTCCGTTTCCGTTTCCATTGCTGTATCCGTTGCCATTTCCGTTCCCGTTACCGTTACCATAACTGTATCCGTTCCCGTTGCCATTTTCATGGCCGTATCCGTTTCCATTTCCATTACCGTTACTGTGGCCGTAACCATTCCCGTTTCCATTTCCTCGGCCGTATGATTTTCCATTCCCATTACTTCTACCATATCCATTTTCATGACCATTGCCATTTCCGTATGATTCTCCTCGGTCATAAAAATCTGACTCTCCTTCACTTCCTACACCATAACCATTATCTTCATCGTCTCTGTTGTAATGATCACGCGTTGAATTAAATCTGTATCTGTCATAATTATCTGCCCCGTTGGATTCTTCGCCGTTAGCTGTATATTCCTATAGTAAATAAATATAACAATTGTTCATTAAGATGGCAACTGACAATGATTTAAAATTTTAAATAAAAAAAAAATATTTTAAAGGAAATTATTTCCGGGAAAAAAAATTATTAAAACCTGTATGATTTTGAATAATTTTTCCAATTTTAAATAAATAAGATTCGAGATATTTTATTTTTTTTTTTTAAATTCAATAAAATATCTACTATATGTATGATTTGTTATTTTATTAAAACGGAATTTTATATTAACGTTATTATTTTACAATGATAATCATTAAAAGAATAATAACTTTTTTTTTTGGTTTCAAATTTTAAAAAAAATTGTATTAAATTAAATAATTCGATTCTTTTAATATTTTGCAAATACATGAATAAAAATTATTAATAATGGTAATAATTTATCTTTTAATAACATGTCCGCCTGTAAAAAAAAAAATTAATTTATATGCTTATGTAAGCAAAAATGTATAGAAAAATATAAAAAATTGAGAGAAATGAAAAAAAAAAAGTTTTCAATAATTTGCACCAGAGCCAGCAGCATCCCATCTCAACACAAATCATGTAATGTACCAAACTTTTGAAAATGATGAATAAAATAATATTTATAATATTTTTATTTGAATGAGTAAAATGAAAAAAAAAAAAAAAATTACGGTTACTATATATCATCCCATTCATAAAAAAGAAACCCTCCATTCATAAAAAAAAAAATTTAAAAATAAATATAATAATAAAATATTTTCATCGTCGTTTCTTCTTCTTCTTTTTCTCATGGATATATATGGCAAGGGTGTATAACATTATTTGCGTATACGTTCTCTCCATTCTCCTCCCCCCCCCTCTTCATTCATTTTTAAAATAAAATATTTAATAATAATAATTATTATTATTATTATTTATCAAAAATAAAAATGAATAAAATCGATTTAATGTGCAATTAACTTTTGACTTATATAATAATAAATTTTTTGCAAAAAAAAAAAAAAAAAATTAAACTATCTAAAATGAGAGTGATTTGTATTTTTAAAAAAAATTAGAAGAGGAGGTTATGTCAAAGGTTAAAAAGGACAATGACAGATTTTGCTGATTAATTAGTTCATAAGAACTATTGAGGAATATTACCGAAGAGAACTAAAAGTCGAATATATGATAACCTGTTGGTGGTGGTGTCGTCAAATAAAAAGGACAATGATAAGAAAAATTCAATTTAAGGTTGAGGGTCGTTTACATTTTATTATTTATTTGAATATTTGTTTTTTTTTTTTTTTTTGGCAAAACGTAATGGCGGGGAAAAAAAATTTGTTTTAGTTTTTTTATTCCTAAAAAAAAAAAAAAAAAAAAACCCCAAGAAACAAAAAAAAAAGCATAAAAGAAATGGCCCCCAAAAAAAAAAAAAAAAAAAAAAAAAAAAGAAAGAAAAAAATCACATAGAATAAATAAGGCGTAATAAAAGAATAAAAACCGAGTTAAGAAAAAAAATTTTTTAGGCGCGATTTCTTTTCTTTTTCTTTTTCTTTTTTTTTAAAAAAAAATATTTTACGTGAAACAAATTATTTAAAATAAAAAAAAAATGTTAATTATTTATTTATTTATTAAATATTTCGTACGACGGCAGACGACAAAATCACTTAATAAATAATAATAATAATAATAATAATAGTTAAAAATTATTATGGAGCTTTTTTTTTTTTTAGGTTCTCTACCCACATATCAATAAACAACATAATCAAGTTTAATTGATTTGAATGAGCTTTAATTTTTTTAAGAAAAAAAAAATAAAATAAAAGGTTTCAGACGCAAAATACTCAGGGTCAAAGTTCAGAAGATTTTTTTCTTTTTTTTTTTGAAAAATTTGATTTTATTCATTATTATTATGAGTACTACTACTTTTGTGTGAATTCGATGCGAAAATTAATTTTCTTTTTTCTTTTTTTTGTTAGTAATAGTAATAATAATAATAATGATAATGATAATAAAAGTAATATATAAAAAAAATGAATTACTTACACAAGCTATAAAATTAAAAATCACAATCCAAGCGAGGGCAGCGACCAGTCTGGAAAAGAAAAAGAAAAAAAAAATTATTATTTTTCTAATAATAATAATAATATTTAACAACGGACGAAATAAATTAAAAATTCGTGTCGGATCCCGATAATAATAATAATAATAACATTATTTTATGTCGTATTATTATTTAAAAAAAAAAAAATCATTCCGGTGAAAATGTGCCGACATTTTCAACGGACGAGAACAACAAATCGTAAAAAAAAAAAAAAATTTATTTGAAAAAATAATAATAATAATAATAATAATGGTTAGTCGGTAAAAATATGAATTTGCGCGAAAAAAAATACGAAATAATTTTGGAACAGAAAAAAAAAATTAATATTATTATTATTTATTTCTTATTTAAAATAAAATAATAATAATAATAATAATAAGTAAAAAAAATAAAACGATAAATTTTTTTTTTTTTTTATCATTTTATTTTTTATTTTTTTTCTCATTAAAAAATAAAATAAAATAAATAATAATAATAATTATTATTATTTATTTTATTTTTTTAATTAAATATTATATTTTATTTAAAAAAATAAATAAAGAAAAAAATAAAGAAAAAAAAAAATCCAACTTACCGAAGCCCGTTTTTGGGCATCGCACGCCGAGCCCTCGATAGGGCTTTTCTCAAATACCCGTTATTTAAAATTAAGCGAAAACCTCGAGTCCGCGTGTCCGCTTACCACTGAAGAGTTGAGCTGGTTTGGGCGAGACCAAAGCACGCGAAGAAGGGCGGACCACGAGACTGGACCCCTCTTCGTCTTCTACCAGAAGATCTCTTTCAGTCTTACGATAACCCTCGATGTTAAACTATAGAGTGCGATTTATTGTTTTTGAACGCGACCACCGTGGTTAGTATAAGGATTCGCGTTGTTTTTTATAAATTTGACTTTATATTAAAAATTTATGATTGCTTTGGGATTTTCTGCCTAACTGCACCCCGCCAAGGTCTGGCGACGAATCCGCAAGGGCCTATGAGTTGCTAGTAATGCTGCTGAAAGCATCGTGACAGCATTTAGAGCGGTCATGGGGCCGCACCTCCTCATGACGACAGTTGCGGTGTTTTCAACGGTTTTCGTTTTCATCGCTTTTTCTGACATTACTTTTGCGGACAATAATGTAAGTTTTTTTTTTTTTTTTTTAAACATTAACTTTCTATTATTATTATGAATATTTTTTTATTATTTTAAAAAGTACCATGGGAAAAAGATACAATACTCTAACGTCATTTAAACAAATTTTTTTTTTTTTTAATTGTTTAAATAAAAACCCGCCAAATGTTTAATAATTATTTAATTCAAATATTCTATTTCCGGTTTAAAAAAAAAAGCCGGGTTCACAAGAATTGTATTGATAAACTATATATATTTGGGGTAAATAAATCTTGAATTATTTTTTAATATATATATACGGTCGTAATAATTATCGTTATTATTAAAACTATCGTTAAAATCATTATTATTATTGACACGAGACAAATCCCGCGGGTTCTCGTTGGCAAAATATTTAATAATAATCCATTTCGAATTGTTTCTACCCCTATTTCCAATGCTTTTACGTCTTTAATACATAATAATAATAATTATTATTATTATTATAGTTTTTTTGTTGTTTAATCCTTATTAAATATAAATCAAAAAATAAAATTCTCTTAACTAAATGATTAAATGATGATGATGATGATGATGACGATGTAACTGTTTTATTATGTGTAATGATTGATTATGTCTTATTGATGATGATGATGATGATGATAATTTTGAACATTTTTTTTTGTCTCCAAGTGTGTTTGAATGCATATTTACGAAAAAATTAAAAAAAAAAGAGTTGAATAATGTCTGGTAGTTTTTTATCATAGACCAAAAAACAAAAAAATTATTTTTCTAATTCCACGTTAAAAAAAAATTAGCGGAAAAATTTTCTTTATAAGTAAACAAAAAAAAAAAAAAAAAATGTTAATTGTTGCGTAATCGGACGACAAACTCTATGACAATTTTATGTATGTACGTTTGATGCGTATGTCAATTATTATTATTATTATTATTATTTGAACGGGTGACATAAATGAAACTTGGCAAACTGGCATTTCTGGGAAGAAGAAAAAAAAAAAAAAAAATTAATGACTTATTTGTTGACACAGAGTATCATTTGACCTGAGGTCAGGTTAACCTTTGGGTTTATTAGTTCTTGATATCTTTTTTTTTTAAAAAAAAAAGGGCAAAAATTTTTTTTTTTATGCGATAAACAAAATAAAAATTTATAACAAAAGATTTAAAATAAGGCAGACATATTGGTTTTCCATTTTAAATAATAATAATAATAATTAAATACATAAAAATTTGTTTTTTCATTTTTATTTTAATTTGATTGATGGTAAAAAAAAAAAAAAATGGAGGAGGGTTCATTTTAATTTAAATGAAAACAGTAGTAGTAGAGTGAGAAAAAGAAAAAGAAAAAAAAAAAATGTTGAATGTATTTAAAAGTGGGGGAAGAAGATTGAGAATAATTGTCGTTTAATGAAAAAAAAAAAAAAAAAAAAAAAAAAACGCCCAGACCTAAACAACCCAAAAATGTCTACAATTGCGACTAAAAATAAATAATATTTATAAGAAATAGAAAAAAAAAATTTTTTTTTTGGAAATAACCGTAAAATCCAAGTTGGGTTAGTCTTTTTTTTTTTTTTTAGGCGCGTTACATATTTTTATGCGTCGTTAATTTATTCCTCCTCCCCCTACACATTTTTTTTTTTTTTTTAAATTTAATTTGTCTGCGTCGTGTGATTATTGTTACGATTAAAATCTATGATATGATAATGATGATGATGATGATAAAATTTACACAACAATGAGAAGAAGACGAAAAGCTTGAAAATAATAATAATAATAATAATATGCAAATTAATAATTAAAAAAACCTTTAAATAAACTAAACAAACAATTTTTTTTTTTTTACTTTTGATTTGTTGAAAAAAAAAAAAAAAAAAAAATTTAAAAAGAAAAATAAAAATCTCAAATTTCAAAAAATCGCCTTTTTTTTTTTTTTGATTGTTTACGTTTCTATATATTGTACATGTTATTTGAAACTTTTTTTTTTTTTTTTTTTTTTTTTTCTTCTGCATAAGCTTCTTTTTTTTTCTTTGTTACTTACTCATTTTAGAGACCGAGATGATTATTATTATTATTATTATTTAATTTTTTTTTAGGCGCGATTATTTAATTATTTACTCAAAACCCTTAACGATTAATTTTTTATTTATTTACTTAGCTTATGCAATGTTTATTCATCTTATAGTTTGTGAATTTTTTACTGCTGACGTATTTACATATGACCATTTAAGGAATAATGTGTGTGCGAGTGCGCGTGCGAATGTGCATATGTACATATATATATATTGAAAGTTATTAAAAAATCTTACTTTTTAATTCGAGGAAGTAAAGATGATTTTATATAAATGCTAACTTACCAAAAATTAATAATAATAATAATAAATTTGCTAGATTGAAATGAATTGAATGAAGATGCTGACGAAAGGTTATTATTATTATTATTATTATTATTATTATTATTATTGTTAATTAATGTGATTGATTTTCTTAAAAACATGCCATCGGATACCTTTCATTATATTTTTTTAATTTCATATTATTATTATTATTATTATTTCCTAACATGGCAATTATTTTATTTTTTTTTTTTTTATTATTTGAATTAAATTCTATCCGTTTTTTTTTTTTTCCTGTAATTATCATCATCATTATTATTATTACTGATTTGTCTTTTGTTTTTTTTTAGAAATGATTTTATTATTATTATTATTATTATTATGTGTGTGTGTGTGTGTGTGTGTGTGCGAGCGCGTTTGTTTGTTTGTTTGTTCGAGAAAGAATCTTCACTCTTTTTATCATAATGATAATGATAATAATAATAATAATAATAATAATAATAATGATAATGATAGTTATTTTATTTTATTTTGCGAAAGGAATGAATGAAAATAAAATTTTTTTTTTTTTTGTTGTTTTGCCTTCATGACTTCCTTGTTTGAAATAGTTTTTTTTTTTTATATTAGAGATAAATAAAATATTTCATACTAATCCGTATATAATGTCAAATATTTAACACTTTTTATTTGCCGAGAACTTTTCGGGGTTACAAATTTGATCCATGAATGTGCAAAGGTCAAAATAAAAAAACTAATTATCCGTATAACATAATTAATTGCTGACCTCATGTCTGAATTTAATCGCCGACATTTTTTTCTTATTCAAAATAAAAAAAATAAAACTTTTTTTTTTTTTTTTTTTAAATAAGTTATTCATTTTTTATACATTAATATATATATATACATGTGTGTGTGTGTGAATGTCTTAAAAAAACCTTTTTTGTATCACTTTTATTTGTTTTTTCTGTTGCAGTAACATAAAATGTCACAGATTATGAATATTCTCATATTAAAAATGTCATTTTTAATTTATTACATGCATGTTTTGAAACAATTTACATAGAGTAAAAAAAAAAAAAAAAAAACGAGTATTTTTTTTTTTTTTTACTCTATGCATATAATTATTATTTAACTGTTAAAGAGGGAAAAAATAAATTTCTATATTTGAATTTTAAAATAAACTAATTTGCAAATGTAATTAACAATGAATTTCAATAAGTGTGTGTGTGCGCGTGAATTATGGAATAATAACAGTTAAAAAATTTAACAAAAGCGCAAAAATATTTTCTTTGGAAAATTCGTTTTGGTATACCGTAAATAATTTTGTTTTTTTTTTTTTTTTATGTTTGGTAAATCGATTGATTAATTCCATAAGTTGTTGTTTGCTGCCACGACACTTTTTTTTTTTTTTTTACGACTTTTTAAATGAATAAAAATTAATCAAGAGGAAGGATAAGAAGGTTTTTTTTCTCTATGATATTACGAAATGTAATTTTTCCTTGTAATTTTTTTTTTTATCTTTTTTTTTTAAACTTACTATCGCAAACCTAAATTACTTAATGCAACATATGAATGAATGAATGAATGAAGGTTTCCTCATTTTAGATATATTATAATCTTTTCCTTTTTTTTTTTTCCTTTAAGATTGCGAAAATTTTTTTTTTTTTTTTTTTTTACTGTCGGACTAATTTTCCTTTGAGATATAAAAAAAAAAATGTTTAAACTCTGATTGTTTACATTACACCCGTTAATTACTTAATAGCCCTGAAAATTTTAATAATAATAATAATAATAATAATAATAAATTTTCATTCATTCTCATTTTTTTTCTGTACTCGTTAAAAAAATTTTATTTAATGGATTATAAAAATATTATATGTATTTAGCACAAAATAATTAAAAAAAATAAAATTTTATTAATTCAGCGAAATTCAATCAAAGTTCAATAAAAAAAAAAAAAAAACTTATTAATATTATTATTGATTTTTAAACGTGACATATTAATTACGCTTTTAATTTATTGATTTTATTTTATTTTAATGATAACTAAAGATGACCTTTTTTTTTTTTTTTTTTTTTAATATGTCACAAAAAATTGATTAATTTTTTTTTTTATTAAAAGTACTCGAATGAAATTTTTTTGTGAGATAAAGTTTATATATATATATATATATATATAATAAATGAACGCGAACCGGACGCACGCACTCACGCACGCACACACGCACGCATATTTAAAAAAAAGGACCAACCGACCGTTATCAAATTAGGCTTTTATAAAAAAAACTTTTTGTTAAATTTAAGCAAAAAAAAAAAAAAAAAAAAAAAAGATTTCCTAATTAAAAATTTAATTAAATTAATTTAAGCTAAAAATATTTTCTTATCATTTTATTTTTTTTATTAATCTATGAAATTAGAATTGAACTTTTAATTAAATATATTATTATTATTATTTATTTATTTATTTAGTTGTTTGTTTGTTTGTTTGTTTTTTTTTTTTTTTTTTTTTTTACAAAGGAATATTTCTACTGTATGTGGCGTGACATTCATTTTAAGTTTTTTTTGGCCCCCCTTACTCGCCCCCCCGTTTTAATGAAACTTTATGTTTCTTTATGTTGATTATGTTATCATAAAAAAGATGTGCAATTATTTAAATGTTTTCCAAGGTTTTATTTATATCAGGTATTTGAAACTTTTTTTTGGGGGAGTTTCATTCAAATTCTCTCCATCAAATCCTACAAGTACATTAATAAATATTTAACTTTAAGAATTTTGAACCTTACGAATGAATATACAATGAAAGATTTCTTTTTTTTTTAGCTTTCGGATAAAATTTCTATTATTTCTTTCTTAACAAAAAAAAAGAAAGAAAAAGAAGTATTGGATTGCAAAAAAAAAAAAAAAATTTCACATTCTTAGCCTCCCTCGTTGAAAAATAAAATTTAAAACCGCACGTTTATCAATATGGCGGACAAAAAACGTTTTTAATACCTTGGCAATATTAGAAAAAATATTAAACGAAATCCTTTTATTTTTTAATTGTTATTTTATAATAAATTATTATTATTTTATTATTATTATTATTTAAATGATAAAATAATGAGTTATTCGAGACGATTTTATTTGTTTTGGTCTCTTTATATATCATAATAATATTATATTAAAATTTCATAACATTTAAAATCTTATTTAAAATAAAAAAATAATTATTGTGCGTGTGCGTGTGCGTGTTGTCATTTAATAATTCATTTTTTTTAATATACAAATAAAATTATGTCAAAAGAAAGAAGACATTTTTTTTAAAAAGATTTTCGGATTTTGCCAAAGGACGAAACTCATTACAGCTTAATTTAAATCTTTTTTTTTTTTATTTTCCATTATTAACTTTAATTGGCCGCAAAATGCGTGACTAATATTATGTATACGCTTTAATATTCTTTATGTCATGACATAATTTATTTATTTTTTTTTTTTTTAACTGGACTCGGACCACATATATATATATATTAATTTTTTTTTTTTAAATCATCATCATCATCATCATCATCATCATGTTATATACATACATGAAGACATATTTCTTTTTGTTTTAATTGAAAGGAATTCTTTGTTTTTTTTTTTTACTCATTCATTTACAATTAAATAAATAATCTTCAATTTTTTCTATTTATTTAATTAATTTAAATAAATTTACTGTGATTGAAAAAAAAAAAAGGGCTTGATTTTATTATTATTATTATTATTATTCACTTAAACGATTTTTTATTTTTTTATATGAGTTCATTTATTTCGTAGAAAATGAAAGAAATAAATTATTAATGGTTTTAAGAATTATTGAATTGTTTGTACGTGAATTGAATTTATTTTTCCAATAATAATTGATTTATGAACTTTTATCTAATAATAATTATTATTATTATTATTTGATATTATTACGACCGTTAAATAGTTATGTAGTGGAACAAAATAGAAGGTATTGAACTCTTATTATTACGTAAACAACAGAAAAAAAAAAAAAAAAAATGTTTTAACCTCGACAAATAAAAAAAAATTTTTTTTTTTTATTAGTTTTATAATGATGACGAAAGAAATAAAAATATTTAATTGTAAAAATGACAACAAACTTTTAATATTAAAATTCAATTCACCGATCAATAAATTTCTGTTGACCTATTATTAATATAATTAATAATACATTATCGATTATATTGTTAAATATCATTATAACAATTACGTACCTCGATATACATAAATATTTTACTTTTATTTAAAAATTATTAATTAAACATTTTATATAATTAACCATTCATTTAAAAAATTATTCAACATTTTTAGGCTTATCATTTGATAGTTTTTATTCATTTGTCTTGTTCCTTTAAAAAAAAAAAAAAAAAAATTGTTTGTTTGATCTTCTTGCTTTAAAAAAAATAAATTATTCTATAATAATAATAATATTAAAAATAAATTTGAATTTATATAGACTTCATATGGCGGAGCTCGAGGAGATTGGGGCGTTTCAACGTATCATCATCCCGGTTCTCCTCAATGCGACTGTGACGGATTAAAAGGTTATCCAGGTGAAGCCGGAGTTCCAGGAGTACACGGTCCTGAAGGACCGTCGGGTGACATTGGACCCGAGGGTCCTGTAGGTCCAAAAGGAGAAAAGGGAGAATATGGTGAATTTGGAGCTGTGGGAGAAAAGGGAGACAGGGTACAAAAAACAATTTTTTTTTTCTCAAACAAATAAACCTCAGCCTAATGGTATATAACCTTTATTATGTGACAAAATCGTTTTATACGAAGGCAATAAAATGGTTTTGCTCTATATGGCTATTAAAATGTTTGCTTGCAAGCTGCTGCAAAAAAAAATTTTTCAATTTCAATAATAAATTCTATTGTATTTCTCATAGTGATAAAGTTAATTAGAATAATGATTTTAAAACTCGTTAAATTTTTATCGCTGAAATTTTCTTTTGTTTCTTTGTTTTAGGGCGACCCTGGAGTCCAAGGAGACAATGGAACACAAGGATACGACGTATGATTTAATGCTCTCATAAAAACTTGAGTTGAAAAAAAAAAAAAAAAATGAAATATAGCCTAACGCGTTTTAAACAGTTAATTAATATTACTTTCTTTATTTTTTTTTTTCTCAGGGCAAAATGGGAGAAAAAGGAGTTGACGGTCTTCCAGGTTTAGACGGTTGTAAAGGAGTAGATGGGCTTTCAGGTGTACCAGGAGTCCCTGGAATTCCCGGTGGAAGAGGAGGAGTTGGAGAAGATGGAGAGCGAGGACCACCAGGGGAAGCTGGAGAAGGAGGTGCCAACACTCAAGGAACAAAAGGTGAAAGAGGAGATGATGCTGCTGACGGTACACCAGTAAGTATTTGGTACAAAAAATGCTTCTCTTTTTTTTTTTGTTCTGTAAAATGTCGATTAAAAACACATAAATTCTTTAAAAAAGAAAAAAATAATAAAATTAAACCGTTTCAACGAACTCATTATCTTTTCCGTTTTCTTATTATCGAAGTCATTACTCTTAAAGTTTATAAAAAAAAAAAAACAACCAGAAGATATTAAATTTAATTTCGAAAATATAATTAACTTATAGCTTTTTGAATTGAAATTTTTCCCAGCTTTTTTTTTTTTTTTACAAAAAATTTCATGTTATTTTCTAGGGTTTTCCAGGTTACCCCGGATTAAGAGGACCCCCCGGTCACCGTGGTCCCGCCGGAGATAGAGTGAGTAATAAATATTTTAAACCTTTTAAATTTCCTTTTAAAAATAACTAATATGTTATGTGACGTGATCAGGGCAGACCAGGATATCCTGGACCTCCCGGACCACCCGGAGACAAAGCCGAACCGGTAAAAGGATCACCTGGTTTAAAAGGAGATCGCGGAGAACTTGGAGAACCTGGTCCTCCTGGAAAATTAACCTATACTAATGAATCGGAACTGGTTCAAGAACCCGGATTTTCTACATATAAAGGGCAAAAAGGAATGAGGGGATCTCCAGGAGAACCGGGTCCAAGAGGAGCAAAAGGAGAACGTGGAAACAAGGGCCAAAAGGTAAGCTCTATGAAATTTACTTCCACGCAAAAATAAATCAACAAGGAATTTAAGAGATTTCATAGAAAAATTGAATGTAATTGTAAAAGTTGAAATTTTTATAAATGTTATATAAAAAAAAAAATTTATTTACATAAAAATTATTTAAAAAGGAAAAATTAATTTAAAAAAATAAAAAAAAATTTTTTTTTTTTTTTAAAAAAGACCTTTGAAATTGTTCTAGGTCAGTTTGATTATGAATGATTTTAATTCATTTGCACGCGCATTTAATAACATTGAATGTGGGTTCAATTTTATTCATATCAAAAAAGAACAAGAAAAATTAAAATTTACAAAATAAGGCGGAAACTCCCACAAATGCTTTTTTTTTTGCACAATATCCCTTTCCGTATAGCCTATTCCTGTTATCGCTACGATGAGATCATTGAATTTTTTTTATTTTTATTTTTTTTCAGGGATACTCCGGATTTCCAGGAATGAAGGGTATTAAAGGAAATCAAGGACCGGATGGTGAAAGAGGAAAACAAGGAAGAGAAGGTCCACCTGGTGCACCAGGTGAAAAAGGAGACAAAGGAGCTCCTGGAACGGCAGGTTTACCAGGAGCGGACGGAATGAAAGTAAGGCTTTTCATAAAAACTCCCATTTGAAAACTCAAAAATTTTATAAGATTATTTCAATTTTAAATACCTCATATTTTTTGTATCGCAGGGAGATCGAGGGGAGCCGGGATTTTCTGGAGCTCCTGGGCCTCAGGGTCCCGAAGGGCCTCCAGGAATTTACGATCCTGATTTAGACGAAGAAGTGGAAGGAATAACGGGGCCTCAAGGACCGATGGGTTTTCCCGGAGAGAAAGGAGCCGATGGTGTGCCGGGACAACATGGACTTGCAGGTCACATCGGACCACCCGGTGAACCCGGACCTCCGGGTGCCGCAGGACCGGCCGGACCGAGGGGAACATCTATCAAGGGAGAACAAGGAGCCGATGGCAAGTTTAATACGAATTTTTTAAATTTGGTTTTACACAGTGTATGAAAAACGATTCATTTTTTCAACGGTTTTTTTTTTTTTTAACACAGGTCCAGCCGGAAGTCAAGGATCTCAAGGTCCGATCGGTTTGTCGGGACCGGAAGGACCAGAAGGAGAAAAAGGTCTTCCAGGTTACACGATAACAGGTCCACCCGGCGAAGACGGACGAGGTGGTCGAGACGGTTTTCCGGGAGTGGTGGGAGATCGTGGAGACACGGGTGAACCGGGAGCCAAAGGTTTTCCCGGACGAGGAGTGGCAATAGTGGGTCCCCCTGGAGAACCGGGTCCGCCAGGATTCCCCGGTATTCCAGGATTACCGGGACTTCCTGGATACGGAGGACAAAAGGGAATGCAAGGAGAAAGGGGTGAAGATTGCGGCGTTTGTCAACCAGGTAAAAATATTATTTTGCAATATAAGAGTTTATAAAATACATTTTATTGATATTTGAAAATAATCAAAACACTTGACATCACCGTATCTGTAGGATTTCCTCAACCCACTAAAGGAAGCTGCTTGAAATAATCTCTTTTTGATAATGACCTATTGCGTGACGCCCTTTTACTGCAATGTAATCATAATAAAACTTTAATTCATTCATAAAAAATTTTTAAAAATCAATAATAATAATATTAATATCAGGTTATATTTAATTAAATGAATATAAAACAATATGATTTTAAATTTTTGAAAAAAATTCTCAAAGTTTACACGCGATTTTTATTGAAAATAAAATTTTTCAATTTGTGAGCATTAAAAAAACATCATTTTTTTTTTTCAAGTAAAAATAAAGACTTTCCAAATTCTTTTTTTTTTTGTGATTATTAATTGAATTACCCCACCGGAAAAATTTTGTTTTGTTCATTTAAAAATTTTAAATTTATTATTTATGTTTATTAAATCAATTTTCAAATAAAATATTAATAATGTCTAATGATTAGCTATTTAAAAAATTTATTGGAATATAATTTTAACTTTATTAATTTTCAATTTAATTTAAAAAGAAAAAAAAAAATTAAGGTCTTAAAATCATATAATTTATATGCGTGTGAGGCTGCTCAAGCGCGCATTGATCTCTCTCGCTCTCTGTAATATCTCTTTTTATCATTTAATAATAATATTTTCAGGTAGAAAAGGAGAAAAGGGAGATCGAGGTGACGCTGCTAGAGACGGAAGTCCTGGAGGCCCCGGTTTTCCCGGATTTCCAGGAATTAGAGGACCCAAAGGTCAGCCTGGAATGCCAGGAAGACCAGGTTATCCAGGTTTAGATGGAATCCCGGGTAGTACAGGTAAGCGACAATATAATTATTTTCAATAACAAGGACTAATAACGCAATTTTTATTATTCTCTAAAACATTTTTACGCCACTGATCCATAGGTTTGGCCGGAACTCCCGGACCCAAAGGTGAAGCGGGATCTATTATTTATCCTCCGGACAGCATGACTTTAGGACATACGGGTGACCCAGGTTTGCCAGGTTTCCCAGGAGAACAAGGGCCTTGGGGTCCTATGGGACCTCCAGGACCAGCTGGAGAACGGGGTTTAAGAGGAAGGAAAGGTGTAAAAGTGAGTTTTGTGCTCAATCAATTGACAAATTAAAATCATTTTTTATACATGTTTTCACGTTTTCTTGTTTACTTTAAAAATTATAAATGATCATCTTCAAAGTTTGGCACTTGTTAATATTCATTAATCAAAATATTTGAGTTTATTAATTCTTAATAAATAATATTAGAGATAAAAATTTAATTTTCAAAAATGATCTTACCTTACAGGGTACCATGGGAGCTCCAGGTAGTCAAGGTCGAGACGGGCGAGCAGGAGGTGATGGTCAAGCCGGTCCTAAAGGAGACTCTGCTTTTGTTCCTAAGGAATTCTTGAGAGGCGATCCTGGAATAGATGGATATAGGTAATTTTTACTCACCATAATCAATTCTTTTTAAAATATGCACTGACAAAAAAGTCAAAAATTTACCTTTAAAAATTCAGAGGTCTTCGAGGAGACATTGGAGAGCCAGGTTTGGTTGGTTTACCAGGAGATGCTGGAGAATGGGTATTAGATATTCAAGGAGATAAAGGTTACAAAGGTCAGCCAGGAGATTACGGTTTACCAGGCCGAAAAGGTGAACCTGGTCCAGCAGGAGATCAAGGATTCCCGGGACCTCAAGGTCCTCAGGGTTCCCAAGGTATTTCTGCCCAAGGTGAAATTGGATTAAAAGGGTATCCTGGAATCACCGGAGAACAGGGACTAAGGGGCGAGCCTGGTAAACCCGGATTAGCTGGCAAAATGGGTCTGCCCGTAAGTTTTTTTAAATCATTAATTGTAGTTTTTTTTTTTTTTTTTTCAAAAATTAAATGAAAGCAATAATTAATCTCGTTAAAAGGGATTTGGTGGGCAAAAAGGAGCACGAGGTGAAAGAGGACAAAGCATTCTTGATGGTCCTTTTGGTCTTCAAGGCCCCAAAGGACAGCCAGGGGATGTTGGAGATGAAGGATTTGCTGGACCCCCGGGAACAGCCGGTGTCACTGGACAAAAAGGAATTAAAGGAATGAAAGGAGCAGCAGGATACGTTGGCTTACATGGATTAAGAGTAAATTTCAAACGACTGAAGGTCCTCAATTTAACATCTCCGAACAAACTAAGTTTTGAAAAAAAAACCGCTTTGATTTTAGGGAGAAAGAGGACAACAGGGAGCCATCGTTCAAGGACCTCCTGGTTTTCCTGGTAGTCCTGGATTTAACGGCGCTAAAGGGCAACAGGGAGATGAAGGTTACCCCGGTGAAGACGGATTCCCCGGTATTCTTGGAGAAAAAGGAACAAAGGGAGACATTGGAAACCAAGGAAGAGTTGGTACGATATCGATAACTGGATTTTTTTTTTTTTTTGTGAATTTTAGTTTACTTTTTTTTTTTCTTACGAATCCATATGTACTTATATTAAGGTGAGCCCGGAGACGCTGGAGCACCTGGTTTGCCCGGATTAGATGGAAGAATGGGAAGTCCGGGTGTTTTTGGTGAACAAGGAGATCGGGGAGATGTAGGAATACCTGGAGTTCCAGGTGTAAAAGGAAGAATGGGTATGCCGGGTACACCAGGATTAAAGGGCAGTACTGGAGACCCGGGAAATTTCGGAGGCATGGGATTTCGCGGACCTCCTGGATATCCGGTAACAAAAAATCTTATTTTATTTTTAATTTTTTAAATATTAGCAAATTTTTATTAATCAATGCAATACGTTTTCTCGATGAAAAATTTCTATAGGTGAAGATTTCTTATGGCTAAAATTGCACACATTTACTTTATTCATTGCATTAATTTATTAATAATAGTTATTTATATAAGGAATAATTTTTATTAATAGGGGCTGCCTGGAGATCCAGGATTACCCGGACTGGACGGTTTGCCAGGGGATTCTAGTTTTAGCGGTCCTAAAGGAGAACCAGGAGATCCAGGTAAATGCATATTTTTTAAATGCGGGTAACTTTAAAATTTGTAATTTACAATTCACAAGTAATTAAAAACCATCCTTTTTCAGGAGTTGATGGGCAACCGGGAATTCCGGGTCCTAGAGGTTTGGATGGTTTAAAGGGAGAAAGGGGAGATGAAGGTTTTATCATTTTCGGGGGTGCAGGTCAGCCTGGTGAGGGAGGAAGAGCTGGATTCCCCGGTGTTGTAGGTCGTCCGGGACCAAAGGTAAATAAAACGGATTCTAAATATTTTTTAATATATTTTATAAATAAATTATTCTTATTTTATAAAAAATTATAAAATATTAATTTAGGGAGAAAGAGGAGATCCTGGCATACCAGGTGAAAAAGGTGAACAGGGAGATATAGGAAATGTTGGTTTTGTCGGAAATAGAGGCCGAGATGGAGCTTTTGGACTACGAGGAGTTCCTGGATTACCAGGAAGTGATGGTAGAGTAGGTGAAAAAGGTGTTCAAGGCGACGAAGGTGATCCAGGAGTTATCGGTAGACCAGGAATGCCTGGAGACCTCGGACCGGAAGGACCTCGGGGATTGCCCGGTTATCCTGGGGCTAAAGGAGCCATGGGAGATCCAGGAAGAAACATTTACACTCCTGGAACTAAAGGAAGTCCCGGAGAAAATGGTTTGCATGGTATGAAGGGCATGCCTGGAAGACCTGGACCGCCGGGTTTGATGGGCTTACCCGGCTTTAAGGTTATTAAATTTAAAATGAATACAAAAATGTAAAAAAAAAAATTTTTTTTCATTTTTAAAAATTAAAAATTGTTCTTTTTATCAATAGGGAGATGTTGGTGAAGCAGGATACCCAGGAGAAGCAGGTTTTCCTGGTGCGCGCGGAGAAATGGGACAAAAAGGAGATCAAGGAAATCCTGGTTTGCCCGGTATTTCTGCAGCGTTTGCCGACCGTGGAGATCCCGGAACTCCAGGATTGGATGGAATTGCGGGTAGACCTGGCGTACCTGGTCAAAAAGGCGCTCCTGGAAACTACGGAGTCGACGGGTTGCCTGGATTACCAGGTCCAAGCATTCCTGGAGCACCAGGTCCAAAAGGTTTTCCTGGCTCGGCAGGTAGACCTGGATTAGCAGGAGCTCCAGGATTGCAAGGAATGAAAGGAGATGCAGGAAGACCAGGATATCGTGGAGCAAAAGGAATGAGAGGTGCTCCAGGAACTACACCAATAAGGTAATGTTTCTGAAAAGAAAAAAAAAATATATTAATAATAATAAAAATAAGCGTACCTATAATTTTTTTTTTAACCCTCAACTTTTACAGTTTAAAAGGTATGAAAGGTCAAAAGGGATTCCCGGGTTTCCCAGGCTTAAATGGAGCTAAAGGTTTCCAAGGAGATGCTGGATTCCCCGGAGTTCCAGGAGTACCTGGGTTAAAAGGAGAAAAAGGAGACTTTGGAGAACCTGGTCTGCCTGGACGTGCTGGACTTCAAGGCCCCAAGGTAAGACAAGAAATCTGTTTATGATAAATTCATGCGTCAATTTTAAATGTAACTGACTTGTACTTTAGGGAATGAAAGGAGATTGGGGTGAAACACCAATTGTGGCTTACGAATTATTGAAAGGACAAATGGGAGAAAAAGGATTTCCTGGCACAGTGGGTCTACCAGGGCAACCTGGAATCATGGGTAATCCTGGAAGAGACGGACTACCGGGTTTAGTCGGAGACAGTGGAATTGATGGTTACAACGGTTTGATGGGACCTTCAGGACCCAAAGGTCAACCAGGTTTGCCAGGAAGACCTGGCTTTCCAGGAGCTATCGGCAGAAAAGGTACGTCACGTAAAAAAAAGAAACCTTCTTGATAACGTGTCTTAATAAACAATATTATTAACATTTTAAACAATTTAATAGGTATTGCCGGTATTAGAGGAGATCCGGCTCCGGTCGGTTATCCTCCAAGAAGAAGAGGATTTTTCTTCACGGTTCACTCTCAAACAGATGAAGTGCCTCCTTGCCCTCAAGACACCACGGTGCTTTGGGACGGCTATTCCCTTCTTCATTTTATGGGTAATGCAAAATCACACGGTCAAGATTTGGGAGCGCCTGGAAGTTGCCTTCGTAAATTTTCAACCATGCCATTTATGCCGTGCAATTTGAACAATGTGTGTGAATATTCGTCAAGAAATGATTACAGTTATTGGCTTAGTACATCTGAGCCCATGCCAATGATGATGACACCTATTCAACCACCAGATTTGAAAAAATATATTTCTAGGTCAGTTTTTTTTTTTGTAATGTAAGGTTTTCGTTTTTAAGCCATAGTATTTTTTGTTACAAATATTGCATTTATATTTGTAGATGTGCCGTTTGTGAAGCTCCAACGAGAGTAATAGCAGTTCACAGTCAATCAAATGATATACCAAACTGTCCAAACGGTTGGGAAAATCTTTGGATCGGTTACAGTTTCTTGATGGTAAATAAAAATATATAATTTTGTCAAAATCTAGTTTCAGTTAAAACAATTTACAATTTTACGTTTTGTTAAATTTTTTAGCACACGGCTTCCGGTGCTGACGGTAGTGGTCAATCTCTAATATCTCCAGGATCATGCTTGCTCGAATTTCGTCCTACACCTTTCATTGAGTGTCATGGCGTTGGTCGGTGTAACTACTTTTCAAATTCTTATTCGTACTGGCTTTCAACTCTAAACGAACGTGATATGTTCAGTAAACCACGTCAGCAAACTCTTAAAGCTGGCCTATTAGAAACCCGCATAAGTAGATGTTCAGTTTGTATGAGAACAAATGATTTCAATAGAAGAAGACAAAATTTTTCAGCCGCTGAATATTATCAAAGAAGAGCATCAAGAAACACTAAAACCAAATTATTAAAGAGAAAAAGTAAAAATCCAAGGAGAATTGATCTTTTCAAGGCTTTAATATAGGTTTAGTGAACGAATTGAACTATAAATAATTTTATTAAGCAAACATGTTAATAATATTTATGATTGAGAAGGCTTTAAATACTTTTTTCTTTTTTTTTTTTTTTGTAAATTTCCGGTTGATTTTTATATAAAAAATTTTTTTGTTTAGGATAAATAATAAAGAGAGAAACAATCTGATAATTATTAAACATGAGATTAAAATTTTAAAATTTCAAAATTATTTTAAAAAATTTGTTTTTAGTCTTACTACAATCAAAAATTTTGTTTACATTACCCTCGACATTTATTATTAATCACTGCCAAAAACTGCCAAAAAGTTGTAAATACTTTTTTTTTTTTTTAAAAAAAAAAAAAATATTTATGACAATAAATCACAAATATATTTTTTTCCTTATTTTACTTTATATTATTTTTAAAATAATAAATAAATAAAACAAATTTTCGAGATTTTAAATAATTCACCATTTTAATAATTAAATTTTCTAATATGATAGAAAAAAAAAAATTTTTTTTTTAGTAGTTTATTAATAATAATAATAATATATAATAATCCATTCTTTTCTTTCAAAATTTCAATAATAATAATAATAAATTAGAATTTGTAAATATAATCTGCATTATAATAGTAAAAATATTAGTAACATATAATTTTTTAAATTAATCTTTCCTTTCATGTAATTAAAAAAAAAAGGTTTAAAAGTTTTTTTTTTTAGTAAACAATTGATAATTTCTTACCTTCGTACTCTGGATCATCATCACCTGTGGAGGAGAAAAATTATTATTAATAAAAAACAAAAAAAATAATTATTGTAACAAAATTAACAATTGGGGATAACAAATTAAAGTTTTTTGATTACAATAAATCGATATATTAAGTTTGGCAAATAATGTCATTTAAAAAAAAGTAAAAAATTTTAATTTAATCATAAATAAACACAAAAAAAATTAAATCGTGATAAAAAAAAGACAAAGAATCAAAAATTTTTTAATTTCTTATTAATGAGAACACATTTTATGTTTCCTTAGGCAAAAAAAAAAAAAAAAATAGAAAAACTTAATGAATATTTAACACTGCAAAAAAAAAAATTTAAACATTTTAAAAATTTATTACAGAGATATCGAAAACTGCCACAAATGATTTATGGTAATTTAAGGTAAATAAATTAAACAAATTTAATTTTTAACAATAATAAAATTTAATGTTTGAAAACAATAAAATTTCATTATTGTATTACAAAGTAAATATAATAAACTAAAATAATGACTTTCTCTGACTGTACAACAACATTCGAGACATAAATAATTATTAATAATAAAATAAAAATATTTAAATTTATAGCAATAAAATTTTTCTTACAATTTGCATTTTATATTTAAACTGTAGACTAATTATACAAAATTTCATATAAAAATTATATAATATTGAAAATATATAATTTATACACATTAACATGTATATGTAGTAATCGATTGATTTAATAAACAATAAACTAATGTTCCTCACATTAACATTATTAAAAAATTTAAACATTATTCAGTCTGTGTTTGATAATTACTCATAAAAACTTATTTCTGGTTTCATTTCAAATGTTTTTTCTATAAATTGCATTTGCCTTTCTATTATTTGGAATAATTCTGGAGGTTGTGGAATTCTTCCAGTTTCTATTTTTGACCATACGGGCACATCGTTAAATGTGATTTCAAATGCACCTAAAATGTAAACATATTCATTAATAAAATAAAATTCAATATTCAAAATCAATCAGCACCATATCTATGACACTAGAATTGATTATGTAATCAAAATCTGTTTTTATATTATTACCTGTAGAAATCAAATTTCCTTCAATGAAATTACATATAAAAAAAATCAAAGCACAGGAATAAATTTTATTTGTACGACACCAATACCAACTTGATGCCATACGACCTAAATAACGGGAAATATCCATATCAAATAGGATAGCTGATATTACAAGCATTTTTCCTATATTTAATATTTTTGCCAATATAGAATTGTAAGTCGATGGCGGATAAAGTCCTCCCTCAACAATTAAATCAGGATATCTTTTATTTAACATATCAGCATATTGTTCATAGGCATTTCTATAACCACAGGAATAACTGAAAAACAAAATGATAAATTCAATTCAACAGGATCACATTTAAATAAATGTGTGTATTTCACCGTGCAACCGAAACATTGATACAATTAGATAAACATATTAAATATAAAAATTTTTAATTAATAATTAAAAAAAATTATTGTAGCGTAATTGGTTATTTAATTGGATAATGATTGAAATTTTTTATACGTTAATAATGATATTGAAAATATCAAACTAATTTAAACTCACCAGTACAAAATTTTTAACGTAGGGCCCATAAATTTACTAGAGCCCAAATTTGTGACGGGAATATCTTTGTTACTAGCCTCGGCATTCCAGTGAGACACAAATAAATCCTTTATTGTAAAAATTAAAAAAAAACCGAAAACTATTACTGGAACACTCTTTATTAAGTCAGCCATTTTGATAATACCCTATGGATTAAATAAAGTACACTGATAAAAGTATAATTTTTTTTTTTAATTAAAAGTTAAAAAATTTTTTAAAAAAAACTTTATGAACTAAATAATTTTCTATAGTTCTCATTTGAAGAATAAAATTAACATTTTAATCAGACTAATTTCCTTTGATCACATTTATTGTCGTTAATACTTTGGATAAACTGGGAGAAAATGACACAACCGTTTCTATCAATACTTTGATACAAAAGAGAATAAAGATGGCATTGCTTACAAAGTTAAAAAATAAATAAAAAGTAAATACATTTTTTCATTATCGATAAAAAAAATTTTATCTACTATATATACCACATATTTTTATTTTTTTGTGCGCAAAACAATTTTAATTAATTATTTTAAAAATTTTAGATATGATTTTATGCATTATTGAAATGTGTTCATATTTAAAATATGGTAGAAGTAAATTTAGATTGTCAAAAACTACTTTACTCCCTAAAAGTTATTGTGGAAGGACTTTTAGTGAATCAAGTGGGAAATGTTTGGAGTATTTATGGAGGATTAAATAGGTTACATTTAGCCGTAGGAAAAATAATACAACATGGTTGTAAAAAAAATAAACAGGTACAAGGGTGTAATTGAGTTTTTTTTTTTTTTTATTTCTGAAAAATATCATTGTAAATTTTTAAGTTATAATTAATTTTTTTTATATAATATTTTATTATATTAATTTTAATAATTATTATTTTTCTTTATAGACTGGATTATTGGAATGTGAAACATTTTTTGAGGGTTTATCTAAATCGCAGCCTTACCTTTTTAGAGATATAGCAAAAGAAAATGTTTGTGATAACCTACCAGCAAATATTAAAAAAGAAAAATATTTAATTTGGATATATAAGTCTTTACGAGATCATCATCTTTCGAAAATATTGTTTTGGCTCTTATCAGATTCAAAACTTGTTTGTCATTGCTACAATGAGAATGCTTTTCTTCGACAAGAAAAATATGCAAAAGCAGCTATACTTTGTTTAAAGGCTGTAGAACAAAAGCAGCCTTCTTTACTCACAGAAATTGATCCTTCTTTAGTAAGTATGCAAAAATCATAATTAATTTTATTGTAAATCTACTCATAAAAATGAAGTATTATCATCAAACATTGTGTATATCTGTATTTTGTAGTTGTAAATGCATAAAAATCCCTTAAAATCAATTACAAAAAATAAGAAACTTTTTAAATCTTGATATGAATAATTTTGCAAATAAGGTTTTTCTTTAAAAAAGAAAATGTAATGTATTTTATTCTAGTATTTCACAGATACAAAAGATATTAAATTTGAAAAGAGTCACAAAAGGTGTTTGTCTCTTCCTGAAAAATTATTAAAAAAGGAAAATATAATTGATAGGAATAAAGAAGTTGAAATAGAAAACACTGAAAGCAAATTGTTTGCTTCCAAAGATATTGACAATATTATTTATGATCAAAATAATCTGTGTTGCAAGAGTTTACCTAATATGGTTTTAGAATTAAATGAAAACAATCCTTCTACATCAGAAAGTAATTCACAAGAAAAATCATCTGAAGAAATTAATATACATCCAGAATACTTATGTAAAGATAAAAAAAACTGTAAAAGAAAAACACTAACGTCTCCAACTGATAAAATCAAAAATTTCAATAAAAATACTGACTGTGATGAAATCGAAGATAAAGAATGGTTTCTTGTTGAGGGTCGAAAAAAAGAGAAAAAGAAAACTTTCATGGAAGATGGAGGAACAAGTGTTTTGCCAATGTCCACTGGTTACTTCCCTAGGCCTGCTCAGGGTCAAAGTTTAACTAGTTTTCTGACATCTGAAAATTTTTCCCGAAGAGTTGCAGAGTTGGACAGAGAAAATGCACATTTCAGTATTTCAGAGGCCATGATATCTGCCATTGAGCAAATGAAATGTAATCGACAGTTGCGACTTGTTGAAGAAGCAAACGAAGAAGACAGTGATGAGGAAATAAACCAATTAAAACAAAGAATTAGAATAAGAAGAAGACAACGTCTTGAAGAAAAGAACATTAAAAGTATGTGGTCAACAAGTCTACTCAGTGATGGGAAAACAGATAGTGAGTAATAATCAAAAAAAACCATATGTATATTTGTCGATTTCAAATTACTAAAAATCATTTCTTTTTATTTAGCAGCCACCGATCAAAGTATCAGCCCACCTAGTACCTCTCCGGACACCCCCGAAAGTTTATCTACCGATGGTGTAGATGATTACGAAGTTGATGAAGACAGCAATTTAAAGTACTTTAAAAATTCCGATTTATCTGTTTCGTTAGCATCACTTTATTCTGAAGCAGACATATCGAAAATTAAAAAAGAAACTATTGAATCATTGGGAAACGCTGAAAATGTGGCTTTGTCATTATTGAAACAGTTTAAAAAAAAACAATTACCAAGAGCTTCCGACTTGGAATGGTTGGTTTCTGAAGAAGATGCTCCACAAGAATTATTGCCTTTACCAAAGAGTTGGCCTGTGAGTCCAGATGATGCAGATTCATCTAAAACTACGTTTCTTCGTGGTACAACCGACTGGGCTCCCCCTAGACCGCAAGTTATTTTTACGCAACATCCAACTCCTGCGTTAGTCGAATTTATTCTAATTCTTTAATTTACATTGATATAAATATAAAATTTAATTTTAACGTCAAGAATTTTTTTTTTCAGGCGAAAACTATTACTTAAAAAACAAAATTTTCGATGCGCCGGTTGCGGACTTCGAGTTGCTCCAGAATATGCTCATAAGTTTCGATATTGCGAATACCTTGGAAAATATTTTTGTACCGGATGTCACAGTAATCAGCTATCAGTTATCCCCGGTCACATTCTTTTCAAATGGAGTTTCAAAAGGTATTTGATAACTTACGTAAATTTTTAATTACCAAAAAAAAAATTAAAAAAAAAAAATGTGGTTAAGTGCTGCGTGGCAGCGGTGCCTTAACCGTATATGTGTTATTCCATCCTTGTCTAGGGGAGTGCTAACCGTCTCTCCTTTCATACAACACGAAAATCCCGACTACCTCCAACGTTTATATATTTCAAAATAAAAAATCAATGTTACCGCGAACATTCAACTTGTATTAAGTGAAACGTTTTACTGTTTTTTAAATGATTCAAATTTATTTATTTTACTTTTTTTAATCATACTAAAATCAAACAAATTTATTTAAATTCGTTTTTTATTTTTTTTTGCACGCTGAAATCAAAAATTACTTATTCCAGAAATTGTAACAGCAATTATTATTTATTATTTAAAAATTAATTTTTTTTTTTCTTTTGCAACACACCATTAAATTCAATTTAATTTATTATTTCTTCTTTTTTTTTTTAGGCATCCAGTCTCAAATTTTTCATATCGATTAATTGATCAAATGTTAACAGATCCATTGTTCCCAGTAAAAGATTTGAATCCAGATTTATATAAAAAGGTTAAAGTCCTTGATAAAACAAGACTGTTTAGAATGCAATTGTATTATCTCAAAGATTTTTTATTTACCTGTCGTTTTGCTCATCAGTAAGTTTTTTCTTACTCTTCACATTTAAGATTTAACAAAAAAAAATATTTAATGATTTTTTTTTTTTGTTAGACTTCAAAAGAATTTAGAAAAAGAACCTTCTCACATCTTCCAAGATCCTGAAATTTATTCACTACAAGATTTTATTCAAATCAAGACAGGAGAATTATTATCTAGATTAAAAGACTTGGTCAAAGATTGTTTTCAACATGTTCAAAAATGTCAACTTTGTTCAGCGAGAGGTTTTCTTTGCGAATTATGCCCTTCAAAAGAACCTATTTATCCATGGTTTATGGATAAAGTATCAAAATGTTCTCATTGTGGAGCTTGCTTTCATTTTCAATGTTTTAAATCTGGATTTTGTCCTCGGTGTGCACGAACGACAGCTAGAAAATTAAATGCCATTGACTAATAACCAAATCTATAAATATATATTTCTGTTTAGTTTATTTTTTCAAAAAATAATAATATAATGAAATTAACATACACATATATATATGTATATTATTTGTTAATTATTTTAAATATTTAACCCTTTTTTTAAAATATTTATTTTCAATATAGAAATGTGAAAATTTAAATGCTAAAAGACATGACTTACATATTAATTTTTGTATTACACTTATTTACATATGGCGTGCTTGCTTACTTTAATTTATTAAATCATTAAAAACTTTAAATAATATTTTTTGTTGATTACGTTTAAAAAAAATTTACCTTTTTTTTTGTTAGTACTGTGAAATTTGTTATTTTTTTTAGTTCAATGTTATGTAATTAAAATCAAAAATAAACTAAATTATAATAAAATTTTACTTACATTTCATTCGTTTTCCTATAAGAAGACACGTTAGATAAAGTAAACAATAGTAAAGTCACTTTTCATGATTTCTTGAAATTATTTCATTTTTTGTTAAATTTTTGAAATAATTTATTTGAAATCATTTCATTTTTAATAAATCACACTTATTAACACATGTTAAAGTTATTATTATTGTTGTTAAATTTAAATGAAGTTGAAATAATTATGATTTTGATGTAAAAAATTTTTTGGTTATATAATGGTTTCATCTTTTGAATTCCATTTCCTGTCGCAAAAAAATGTTATTAGTTAATTTTTAAATCAAACGATAAAAAAAAAAATGACTGAATTATTAAAAGTTTATTTATTACCTACACAATTTCGAACGTGTTTTTTTTATCGAAATAGTTTAAAAAATCACGTAACAAATAATGGTGAAGTTTGGGGAGTAGAAATAAAATTTGGAAAAAATTATGAATCGACAATATTTGGTTCTATAAGTCTTCAAATCGTTGGAGAAATACCTGACAATTGTATTGGAATTCCTAATTCATTTGCTAATAAAATAGGAATTAAACAAGATGATAGTATATTATTAAAAAATTGTTTGCCTTTTGCCATAGAGTCCTTAGAAATAACACCAATAAGTGAAGAAAATTATAATTTACTTGTAAGTAATTATATGTTTTTTAAGAATTTTAAATGAAAATTAAAATGCTATATAAACTATTTTATGTTTGACAGTTGAGCTGCCAAAATCTATTGGAAGAAAATTTATTGAATCAAATTAGAATAGTTACAAAAGGTCAAATTATTCCTATCTATATTTTGAATAACCTTTCTGTTGATGTTGAAATCGGTAAGTTTTAATAAAGCATAATAATATTTTTAATTCTTAAAGAGAAATGATTCAACTCCTTCGAGTACTGAATACTATTTTAAATTTGAATTTATAACAGATTATTCCTCTACTTCATTATAATTAAATTTATTACAACATTATCTTTTTAAAAATTTTTTTATTTTTAGGAAACATTAAACCAAATGTTGCATGTGGTTTATTATTGGCATTTACCAAACTTATAATTTTACACCCTTCTGAAAAAATGTCAAATTCTGAAAATCAATCGGATTTATCGAATCATTTATTAAAATCAAATAGGAAAAACCATCAAGAATGTATTCAAGATCTGAACAAATCGCTTCAATTTGATGTTTCACTTAATGAGAAATATTTTATCAAATCAGAAATAAATCAGGTTTTAAATTGTAAATTAAGTGAAAAATCAAATGAATATACCATTTGGCCAAATTCCTTGCTACCCGAATGGGTGGAAAAAAAAATTTTAAATGAATTTTTAGTTTTATCACACATGAATATCAGTAGTGAATATTGTTCACAACTTGACTGTCAGAAAATATTATGTAAAATTGAAAAAGTTATCGATTGTTCAGAGATAGGAAGTACTGACAATGTTAATGAAGATTCCAGTGATGAAAAAAAATGTGATTGGTTAAATAATTATGTAGTAACAATTTCAAAAAATAATTTTAATAATTTTAATACAAAAATAGTTTTTTGTCCAGTATTTATTATGAAAAAGTTAAACTTGTTAGTTGGTTCAAAATTAAAAATAAAACCCTTAGAAAAAAATTTAAAGTGTAGTGAATGGAATGATGTTAATGTGAACATTGACTCAGAATTGAAAAATGAAATAAATAGTAATTTATGCAATGATTTAGAACAAATAAATAAAAATGTGATTCAAACAGTGTTAAATAATATTAAGTTTAATCACAGGACAAATACATTGATCACAGGGGGTTTAGGAACTGGTAAAAGTACCTTATTACAAGCATTAAAAGAAAACTTTTCTCAAAACTTCATATTTGTTAAAATGGTTTGTTGTAAATCAATAAGAGGGAAAAAATTAGAAACTATTATTAAAATTATGACGGAAAATTTAATGAAGTGTTCTCGACAACAACCATCTGTTTTGCTTTTGGACGATTTAGACGCTTTAATTTATTCTTACGAAGATGAGGATTCACCTAATAAATTTTATGTGGAACGTTTAGTGGATACAATAACAAGTTGCATTAAAGAAATTCAAAGGAATTTTAATGTTTCCATAATTGTTTCTGCCAATAGTACGGACAGTTTGAAAAATATGGTTTTTACACATGGGCCAAGAATATTTCAAAACGTTCAAAAAATACCAGACCTTTGCGTACAAGATAAAGTTTTTATCCTGGATAGCCTTATCAGAGATAGAGCAAAAGATGTTAAGTTGGGTTCCCTAAATCTGTATGATATAGCAAACAAGACAAACGGATATACTATTCAAGATTTGTGTGATTTAGTTAACAAATCTATTTTTAAATGTTTGATCAGAGAGAAAAATTCACATTTGGTTCAAAATGATTTTGATTTGACCATTGCTGAATCAACTCCTTTGCTATTAAAAAAAATTAAATTTAAAAAAAATTCTGGAAAAAAATGGGATGACATCGGCGGAATGAATCATCCTAAAAATATACTCATGAAAGTATTTTCGTGGCCTTCACAATTTCCCAAGCTTTTTGAAAGTTGTCCAGTAAAATTACATAGAGGCGTTTTATTATACGGTGCACCCGGAACTGGAAAAACCGTTTTAGCTGGAGCTTTGGCAAATAAATGCGGTTTGAATTTTATTAGCGTGAAAGGACCCGAAGTTTTATCGAAATTCGTGGGAGCAAGTGAAGAAGGAATCAGAAACTTATTTATTCAAGCTCAAAAAACTCAACCTTGTTTGTTATTTTTCGATGAATTTGATAGTCTGGCACCGAAAAGAGGACACGATAGCACCGGAGTCACCGACAGGGTAGTTAATCAGCTTTTGACTCAATTAGATGGGGTAGAAGTTTTAAATGGAGTTTGGGTTCTTGGGGCTACAAGTCGTCCAGATTTAATTGATCCTGCTTTATTAAGACCGGGACGATTGGATAAATTGATATTTTGTCCCATACCTGATGAGGTAAAATAATTATTAATTTATTATGACCATTAAATTGAACCGCATATATAGTTTTTTTCCCCCTATTTTAGTCCGATCGGTTATCGATATTAAATAAACTTGGTAAAAGCATGCCAATGAGTCCAGGTATTAAAATTGAAGAAATTGCTAAGAAAACAGAAGGATATACAGGTGCAGATCTTCAAGCAATTTTATATAATGCTCAAATGTTAGCTGCAAAACCCGTAAGATTTTGTTTTTTTATAACCAATATGTATAATTTGAAAAAAAAATTATTTTAATTTAATTTAATAAACATTATTAAAATTTGATAATGTTCATGGTTTTGTTTTAAAGTTTTCATCTTTTATGAAATATTTTCAGAATATTGAAAACATGAAAGTCGAAAAGGAATTTCAAATAGAACAAAATCATTTATTAGAAGCATTAAAAACCACAAAACCTTCATTGTCAAAATCAGAAAAATTAAAATATCAAAATATGTGAGTACACTATTAATTAAATCTTAAATGAAATGAAAACATGGCGGCAAATCTTTTTTCCCTTTTTTTTTTTCTTTTAGTTATGAAAAATTTAAAAATTCAAGAAAGAAAACAATTTCAACAACAACAACTTTTAGCCTGGAAACAACACCACAGAAAATAACATTTGCTTAAAATTTATTTATTTTTTTGTTTTGTTATTAATATTATATAAATATAAAAATTATTAAAATGAAATTATTATTATTTTTTTTTCATGATACTTCCCATTGAATTTTTTTAGAAAATTACTCTCTCATAAATACCTTTAAATAAAAAAATTTTCTTTTTATTAAATTAAATTCAAAACCTGGAAAAAAAATTTTTACTTGTTTAAAAAAAATTTACAATTGTGTAAAATGATATTAAAAGTTGTTTTAAAAAAAAAAAACATATATATATATTAACATTTGAATCGGTGAATTTATTATTATTATTATTTTTTTTCTAAATTTCTGTGGCGGATTTAGTTTTTTATATTTGTACAAGTTATTATTATTATTATTATTATTATTATTATTATTATTATTATAATCTGTAATTAAATACTTTTGTTACAGACAAATTTTATTTTTTTGAAAAGTCAATTTTTTATTATATACTTAAAGAATTTTCTTATTATTATTATCATTTTTTAGAAATATAATATTTTTTTAAAAAAAGAAAAAAGAATCAGTCCTACCCTGAACAGAATATTTTTTTTTTAAATTATGATTTTCAATTGAATTATTAATAATGAAAAAGTAAAAAAAAAAAAAAAAAAAAATGGATAAGAGAGAAGAACTTTTTTTTTTCCTTTAAGAAAAGAAAAAAAAGAAAAAAAAAGGTTAACAAACGTTTATTTCATTTGAATTTTTCTTTTTTTAAATTTTAATTTTAAAAAGATTGCGTCAAGTGATAAGTATAACATGAGAAAATGAATTATTTTAAAAAAAAATTAAATAGCCTATTAAAAAGTAAAGAAAATATCACGTGATATTTAAATGCTAAAGTATTTTTTTGAATAGGATTTAACTAGCAGAAACCGTCGTTTTCCTCGTCCTCCTCGTTCATATTATTTATGAAAGAAAACCAAACAATGGCTGTATATTTCAGTTAAATAATTTATATAAAAGAAAAAAAATTTTCCTTTTTTTCCTTTTTTCCTTTTTTTCCTATAACAATATTAAATTATATTTTTTTTTAAGTTTATTTTAAAATATATCAATTTATTTTTTTTTTAATTATTAATTTTCTCTAGTGTAAAAAGAAAATTTTTTTGTTTTTCAAACTTAAAAACATCAACAAAGAAAATTTTTAACGGTTTTTTTTAACGTTAACCTCAAGTGTTTGACCAACTGATTACAATGTAAACAATAATCCCAAAATAGAATTTTTTTTCAAGTTTTAACTTTATCCAATTGTGAATTTTATTCTCTAAAAAAAAAAAAAGAAAACAATGTTTGATGTTTTTCATTCATAAATAAAATAAAGAATTTTCTAGAATAATTTAAAGTAAAAGATGACAAAAAAAAATTAATTAAATATTATATGTGTGTATGTGTGTGTAAATAAATATTTTATCATTTTTTAGATTATCTTAATTACTTAAAAAAGTTTTCCATGTTAATTTCCCCTTTTAAAACTATATTAATTAATTTGATTAATAATTTTAACCTAACTTCCTGTCAGACATTTTCTTTTTCCTTTTTCCGTTTTTAAAAAAAAAAAACAAATTTTAAAAGTTTTCACAATCAAACGTTTTAAATCATTTTTTTTTGGCGTAAAGATAAAAAAATAAAAACTTTTCTTCTTCTTCTTCTTATTTTAGGTATGGGGGCGGGGGGGGGGTGTAAAATAAAAGATAAAATTTTTGGTTTAATGTTTTTTTGTTTGTTGTTAAAAAAAAATTCATTTTTAAGAAGTTTTTGTTGTTGTAAATCTAATTATTATCGTCCAACTGCCCTACAATATTGTTTGTCATCATTGAATAGAAAAAAAAATCTAAAAAATCATTTCTCCTCCCCCTTTTCCTCCCTTTTTCCTCCCTCTCTTTCTCTCTCTTACCCCCCATTTTTCCTTTTCTTTTCAAATCCATTGAAAAATATTATTATTATTATTTGTTTAAATATAAATGTTGATTAATAAAAACATTTTTTTTCTTACGTATACATTTATTATTATTATTATTGTTATAAAGGACATTTAATAATAATAATAATAATAATAATAATTTGAATAGGAAATAAAATTAAAATTTAATATATATATATATAAATATATTTTCCTTTTGGCCTTTTTAGTTTCCGACTTGTTGAAAAAACAATTATTTTAGATAGAAGGAAGGAAGGGAGGAGGAGGAGGAGGAGGAAGAGGAGGATGAAGAAGTGTTACAACAAGTTTAACCGTCATTAAAATTAGTGAAAATTGCCATGAAATTTTATTCTCGCCCTTTTCATATTTTCTAATTTGCGTCGAATCTGAAATATTGCAAGGGTTAATTGGGGATGAAATCGGTTCTGATAGAAAATTACGCCCCGATGATTTTCATTTCTCTCCGGCATAATTCGAAAATAAAAAATTTTCTTTTTTTTTTCTTTTCTTTTAACGCACGGATAAAAATCTCATATTTTTTTTTAAATATATATATTTGTTTTTTATGACTCCAACGGCGGATGGGGGGGGGGGGGAGAAACCTATAATTAATGCAAAAACAATGATTAACAATGTACAAAAAAACGACGACGACGACGACGAATATGATAATTTTTATAATAATTAAAAAGAAAAAATAAATAAAAGAAAAGAGAAGAAAGAAAGGAAGACAAGAGCAGGAAGACAGGAGAAGAAAGAAAGAAAAAAAATAAAAAGAGATAAAAAAAAATAATAATAATAAAGTAATATAATGGTATAAAATAAGTCGTTCATTTCCCTTTAAGATGCCATGGAAAAAAGAGATAACGGCTAAAAAACGTCGATGACACTAAAAATTTTTTTTTTTTAGTAAAAACGACTATACAACACAGAGATATAAACACATTTTTAGTTTTTCCTTTTTTCTTTTCTCTTTTCTTTCCTTTATTGAATTATTTAATTTTGAATCATTTTTTATTTTACTAAATAAAGTAAATTTTTTTTTAATAACGGACCAAATCAAAAAAAAAGAGGAAAATTATTAATAAAACTGTAAAACACTTTTTAAAAAAAAAAATGGTGCTTGAAAGAGTGCAAATTGAGTTTTAAATCTTTTCAATAGTCTGAATAGTATTCAATAAGATGATAAAAAAAAAAAAAAAAAAAAAAATCATTCTATGTGTTAACAATGAATCTCTGATCCTATTAAGGGAAGGGTAGTTATGGTAGGGGCGTAAGGGGGTAAGGGTGGTGGTGGTGGTGTTAGTAAAACCCTGATAAAAAAGGGTGACCAAATATAATTCATTCAACATTTTACATAAACTTTTCTTTTTCTTTTCTTTTCTTTTTATGTTTGATTATTATTATTATTTAGTGTTTTAAAATCATAGGTATTTATGTGCGTGTATTTTATGTACAAAAAGAAACGATTTTCTAATTAATAGTGAAAATAATACGAACATTTTTTTGGTTCTATCTAATGTATAACATATAAAATTATATTTATCGTTTTTTTTTTACGTACATCGTTATAGTAATTATAATATTAAAGGAAAATTCACTAATTATTATTATCATTATCATCATTATCATTATTATTATTATTTTCATGTTCGTCATTGTCTTTATCAATTATTTTGTTATGATTATGCGTCGTGGAAACGCATTCAAAGGACGGCAACTGACATCCCCACCATCGTCCGTTCGATAAATATTCTTCAACGTTCCTCCTCGTTTCCGGGAGGATCGGGAGCGGTTTTCATATAACGTGTTGCGATGCCGCCGTTCTCGCGTACGTTTGACCCGATGATTCATCCTTGTTAACTACCAGGTACGCGACCTGTCGCTTAACGGAATCTGGACTTCTCGGCGGAGATAAATCCGTCGGTGGAGGACATCCGCAAGTTATGGGCCAAGTGACCGAAGCCGCGGCCGCAGCTTGAGAATATAAAGAACTCCCGTAAAGAAAAGCTAAATCTGCTGCCACTTTGTTCGTTGTCGTTGTCGTGGAAAGGTCTTCGGCTTGTAATCTCGCTGCGTGATACAGAGGATAAGAAAATGGAGGAAATATACTTCTCGAAAATTTTAACGAATCTTCACCCAATATGGAAAGTTGTGAAGATGGAGGAGGAGGAGGAGGTGGTGGTGGTGGTGGCGGCGGTGGCGGATGTGGAGGTCCCGAAGATGGCGGAGGATGAGGTAAAAGAGATCTTTGAAACGTATCTATTCCAGATGAAATAATAGGAGATATGGAAAATCCTCCTAATTTTGTATCTTTTTTAACCGTTGTTTTTGGTTTTCTTCTCGGCCGATATTTATAATCTGGATGTTCTTTCATGTGCAAAGCTCTGAAAACAATTTTTTAAATAATAATAATAATAATAATAAATTTGATTCGACCCCTCGCCATTATTTAACAATAATAAGAAGTTTATAAATAAAAAAAAAGAAGTTTTTGTCAAAAAAAAAAAAATGGTGGGGTAAAGAAGGGAAGTTAAATGGAAATGGAAGTGCGGGGGAGGTGGAGGAGGGGGGGGAGGGTGTCTATTTCCTCATTGTGACATCGCAAATATTAAGGTGAGATCGGTAAACACTTGAGGTCGCGATAACAACATCATTTATTTGATTTCCCAAAAAAAAAAAAGAAAAAAAAAGAAAAAAGGGAGACCTCTTATCAGTTTTTTTTTTTTTATTTATAACGATATTTTTATTTTTTTTCTTTTGTTTTTCTTTAAATACAGTATTGCCAACTTTTTCTTTTTTTTTCCCCCTATAAATTTTATTTATTCATTTTTTGTTTAATTTTTTTAAAAATAAAATTATTATTTATAAACGAATGAGTAAATTTTATTAATTAAATAAATTTTAATTTTATGTATTGTTTTTTCTTTTTTTAAAATGACATTTTAAAATAATAATAATAATAATGGAAAATAAAACGAATAAATGAAATTTTTTGTCAGAAAAATAACGTTTTTTTCCTTTCTTTCTTTTCCTTTTTTTTTTTTTTGTTATTTATTGATTTTAGTTTTATTTACAAATATTTTATTTAAAATGATAAATTTTTTATCAAATAAAAATGTGCAGTGTATTTATTTAAGTTTTATTATACAATATAAGTATATTTTTTACTGGGTTTAATCTTAATGTCAACAATACAACTCCTGCCCTTCTGCCTTTTTTTTTTCTTTTTTTTTCTTTTTTTTGGGATTCTCGAAAACAATTTTAAACTTTTTTTCTTCTTTCTAAAATATCACGCACGCACGTACATACCTACACATATTTTCTAAATAAATGAAAATTGTACATTAAAATAATTTTCTTCGGAACACTATATATATATATGTTTGGTTGCAATTAATCATCATGTTTTACCCAAAACTATTTTTTACAATAAACAATTAAAAAATTCTATTCAAATTATTATTATTATTATTATTATTTCATACTGACTCAGTCACGTGTAATTAATAAAAAAAATTTATTAAACAAAATGAAAAATTTTCTTGCGAAAATTGGTTAAAATTAAAAATAAAAAAAATTATGCGAAAAAAATTTATAAAAAGATTAGTTTTGTCATATAATATAAATATTCATGTCATTATTATTATTATTATTATTATTATTATTATTATTATTATTATTATTATTATTATTATTAATGTTTCGAATTGTTTTTTGAATGAGTAACATGTTAAATAATACTAATTATATGTAGATTTGTAAAAACGTGGTGGAAAATATTATTAGGCGCGGGATTTTAACCAATAAACGCAAATAAAAAATTATTATTATTATTATTATTATTATTATTATTATTATTAGGTTTAGTATAAAAAATAATTACCTAAGCCTTTTAGCTTCGTCAATGAAGGGCCTTTTTTCCATTTCCGTTAATAATTTCCATTCAGCTCCCAATCTTTTAGATATTTCCGAATTGTGCATTTTAGGATTTTCCTGGGCCATTTTCCTTCTTTGACCTCTTGACCAGACCATAAAAGCATTCATCGGTCTTTTTATGTGATCGTTTTGATTCATTGATTTATGAGACATCATTTTTATTACAAATATTTATTTTTTTTAAAAGTTATTAAAATTATGTTTAATTTACAGTCGTACTATATATTACGCATATTGGGTATCGTCATTTTTTTTTATTATTTATTGATAACGAATTAATAATTTAAATGTTAAACAAAAAAAAAAAAAAAATGTTATTATTTATTATTATTATTATATGTAGTGACGATGAAAAGTATGCGAAATGGGATGGATACTATTAAGGCACGGCAATTTACAAAAAAAAAAAAAAAAAAAAAAAGGTTTTTTCACAAAGTCTAAAAAGTAAAAAATTTTTTTTATACGTTATTATTTATTTTCCAGACAAGTACACCGGAACGACAACCGGAACGCGGGATGAAAGCACGTGTCATCTATAAAAGATTCTATTTATTCTGCGTGCAGCCACGAACTGGTTCTATTACCGCAAAGGTTAACAATCACGAGGGAAGTAGCGTGATAAAATTCAATCATGATATTATCTAAGAGAACAAAGATGGTGGGAGAAAAAACAAGACCTAAACAAAAGTGAAGCCAATCGCTTTGTTCGGTACCGCCTTCTTTTGTATTGATCATGGATGCTGTGAGGCAACAGGTGGACCGACATATTCTTAGATTTTCTATTTTCCATCATCTTCCAAGACGCCATCAAAATTCTTTTTATAATTCCAATCACCATTATTTGTTGCCATTGTTTTTTTTTTCTTCTCCGACTTGCATTTTGTTCTTTTCTTTTTTACCTTTGAGCTTCTTTTTCTTCTTCTTCTTTTCTTTGTTTCTATGAATACATTTTCTTTAAAAATTCTTATATATATACGCACAAAAAAAATAATGTACATAAAATAAAATTCTTATGATTATTTTGTTATTATTATTAATCAACAGAAAATTTTCTTTATCAAGTTTAGGTTTGTTATTAATTATTGTTGTCGATGGATTCATTTTTTGTTTTTATATAAATCATTATTATCGATAATAAGTTCTTAGTCTTTTCAACAAACAAACAAACAAAAAAAAAGGTGAAAAATATTTTTTATTAAAAAAAAAAAGGCAAATGAGAATCGTAATAATAATATTGGTCATGTTTTCCTCGAGGCTAACAAATACAATAATAACAATCATTTCCCTTTTTTTTCTCTCTCTCTCTCTCTCTCTTTACTTCACGACCTAAAAATTTCATTAAAAGGCTCAAAAAAAAAAGGAATGAGAGGAAGTCCTCCGAGTTGTTTCCTTATTATTGTTTGCACAACTCAATTCATCAATTGTTTATTCAACTTTTTATTTTCTTTGTATCAACAATGAAAGTTAACCGGAAATAAGGAAAACGCATGCGTATTTTCCAATTGGACTGCGCAACTTTTTTTTTCTCAAACAAAACCGAAAATTTTTTTTTTTTTTTTTAAATATTTTCAACCCCCTAAAAAAAAAAAAAAATATTCAACCGATTCATATATTTGAGTATAATTAAAGGGCAAAAACATAGAAAAACCGTCACAAAATTATTATTATTATTATTATTTAATATTAAAATAAAAGTATTATATGTATATTGAATTTTGAAAAGAACAAGATTGTAAATTTTTTTTTGGGGGGAGGGAAATAATAATAATATCTTGGTAAAAAAAAGAAATATGGGGATATCCTCATAGTGGGTTTTTGTCAATCGTGTGTGTGCACACTGCACAGGAAATTGAATTTTCTGACGTAGTTTCCTTAAGATTATCAACAAAAAAGTATTTTCAGGAAAAGTCTAACATTCAATACTCTCCAGTTGTTTCTTTTAAAAACATTTTTACCCTTTCATTATTATTATTATTATTATTTACAATGAAAATCATTCCTTTTTTAAAATTCTAATAATAATAAACCAATTATCTACAAAAGTTTTTTTTTTTTTTGAAAAATTTACAGAATAAAAAAAAAAATTAAAAATTTTCAATTAATTTTTTAAATATATATAATTATTATTATTATTTTTTATAAAAAAAAAAAAACCAGCACCTGAGGTAATGTGAAAAGAATAAAAAATTTTGTTTGTTGTTTGTTGTTATTGTTATTGTTGTCATATTTTGTGATAAATTTGATTAAAAGACAATAAGAACACCATTAGTAAAGCATTTAATATTGATTTTAATATTATTATTATTATTATTATTATTATTGTTGTTACATAGAGAGTTATTCATGACAATTGTGGAATAGTTGTGAACCCTCTCGGTAATAAGCAATCAAAAGTCTCTTTGTTTGGAACCCTCTGGAGTCTCCAACACTTCTTGCAACTGTAGATAAAAACCAGAATCCTTTTTTATTATTCATTAAAAATACAATTCAATCTTTTTTTTTTATTTTTTATATGCAAATAAATAAATAAATAATTTCTTTTCTTTTCTTTTTATCATTTAATTCGTTAAAACATTTTTTACAAAAAAAAAAAAAATATATAAATAATTGATTTTTCTTCGTTTCTTAATGAAAGAAAAAAAAATTTTCTTTAATTGTTTATAAGAAAATGTCTGTGTGTAACTAAAAATTATTTTTACCTTTTTTTTTTTTTTTTTTAAATAAAAAAGATTCTGGATTTATAACTTATAAATAAGAAAGAAAGCAGAAAGAAAAATATATATATTTTATATTTATTTTATAAATAATTTAAAAACATTAATCCTTTTTTTTTTCTGTCGTTGAAAAAAAAAATGGCATAAAGGAAATGAAAAAAAGATACGATAAACAAGGAGAAGACAAAGACGCACACAAAAAAAAAAAAAAGAATTTTATTTTTAAGATAAAAACAATATTAATAATAATAATAATAAGGAAAAGAAGAAAATTCATTTTTTTTTTCGGGGGGAGGGGAAGGAGGGTGAGGAGGGAGGGGAAGGAGGGGAGGAGGGAGGGGAACACCGACGTAAAAGTGATAATTTTTTAAATTTTCCAAATTTTTTTTCATTTATATGAAATTTATATGAAATGGGATTTAACCGTTATGTAAACATTATTTTATGGATTATGGATATATTAAACATTTTATTTTCCTTGAACGATTATGTTATTAACATAATTATGTCTCATTATTATTTATACTTAATTTTACTCAATATAAAAATTTTAATCGTAGCCAAATAAAAAATATTTTTATTAATTATATATTAATAAAATGACCTTTTTCTTCCCCCCCCCCGCCATTTTTTTTACCTTAATTTTAATGTAAATTAAATGATTGGATATATAGTCGATATGAGTTTCATTTTTTTTTTGTAATTCATCTTATTTCGGTTGTTAAAAAAAAAAAATATTATTATCACATTTAGTGTTAGGATGTTATTATAAAAACGAAAAAAAGATTCATATTTATATTGTAAAAATATATACATTACCTTAAAAAAATAAAATGTTTTCCCGCACATTCATTTTGGATAAATGTTATAGAAAACGACCTGCACACGATGATGTTTCCGTAAAGAATAAAAATTTATAACTCGGCCATCTAGCGGATTTTTTTCAAACTAAAAGTGTTTCTTATAAATTCCGATAGATGTCGCTGTAATGCGTTTTTTTAAAAAATACATTTATTTATTTGAAATTTGTTTCTATTATGTAAATAATTTCGAAAAAAATTACGTTTTATTTATTTATTTTTCCATAATTAATAATTATTTACAAGATTTTATAAATAAAAAAACTCTTTATCAAATAAAATTTAATATTTTTATAAATTTCATTTAAATAAACGGGAGAAAAATGAAAAATTTGTACATATAGAAAAATATCCTGTATATTATTGATAGCAAAAAATAAATAAATAAATAAATAATAATTAAATAAAATCTTATTGAAATTTTTTCACTTATTATTATTATTTTTCCTTATATTTAAAGTTTTAGAACCATTATTACTCAACTTTTTCAAGGTATACCTCCTGTTTTTGTATCAAAATTAGTAATGTCAAAAATTATTATTATAAAATCCATGAGTTTGCACTACCAACAATCACCAAAAAAAAATTATTTTAAATTATTATTATTATTATTATTTTCATATTTAAATACTTGAAGAAATATTATTAATAAAATTGTAATAAAAAAAAAAAAAAAATTAATCTGACAAAGTTATTGTTGTGTTAATTTAAAAAAGAAAAAGAAGAAAGAAAGAACCATTGTTTCCTCAAGAGGAATTGTATTGTTTTCTTTTTTTTTTCTTTTTTATACCGACAAAAAAATGACTAGAGAATTTCTTTAATGAACCATTCACATTATTTTTTTTTTTTTTGAATAACTATACCTATGATGTTCAACAAAAAAAAAAGTTATAAAATCCTAAATTTCATATTTCTAACCCAAAATGATTCAAAAAAAAAAGTTTCATTTTAATAAAAATTATATTGATTATTAAATAAAATCGATATCGATAAAAAAAAAAAAAAAATGTCGTCATCTTCATTATATTCCAAATTCATGACAAATAAATAAAAAAAATATATTTTTATTGTTATAAGTAAAAAGCTTTAGTTTATTGTTTGTTGTTTACAATTTTCCTTTCACAAAAAAGAAAAATGGAGGATGTAAAATAATTTTTTGACTTTTTCCTACGTCACTTATTTTCTTTTTCATTAATCAAATGAAAAATTACTTTTTTTTTTTTTTAAACAAAATGATATCATCTTAAGTATAATATTTGTTGTTGTTTTTGTTTATATATATAAATATTAACGACCGATTATTATTTATTATTTAAACAATAAATAAATATAAATAAACATTAGTTTCTCCCCGTTCGTCAGATTATCACAAAAACTTTATAATAAATCTTTTAAGTAATGAAAAAAAAAAAAAAAAAAAAAAAACCCAGAAATAATGATTGATCGCGAAATAATGAAAAAAAGATTTCTAATTAATAAAAAGAGAAAAGGGTGAAAAAAGCATGAAAGAAAAAAGAAAAAAAGAAAACAGGAAATGGAAATACAGAGAAGAGAGAGAAGAGAGAGACAAAGCATGTTT